TTGAGTTGGAAGCTCTTTTAGGAGCCGGTGCAGACACAATGGGCCGAATGGCCTCTTTCTCTGCTGTATGATAATATGATTCTATGATATAGGGCCCTCCATGCAGGGTAGCATCTCAGAGCACTTAACAGCGGCGGAGCCTGACTCCAAGCCGGGGGTAGGTGGGTGGTGGCCGTAAGCACGGTCGAAAAGGAAAGTTTTTAGGCGAGACTTGAAAGAGGGGAGAGGGGGGACAAGGCGGAGGGACTGAGGGAGAATTCATGTTCCAGAGTTAGGGTATAGTGGCTGAAAGCACGACCTCCAATGGTGGGCGAGGGTGCGAGGTACGAGCAGGAGGCTGGAGCGAGTCGAGCGGAGGCCCGGGTGGTGGATTGGGGAGTGAGGGGGTCAGAGAGGGAGGTGCCAGGGAGTGAAGAGATTTAAACACGAGAGTGAGAGGATCTTGAAGTCGATCCGTTGGGTGATGGCCAGTGGAGCCTGGGCCAGAGCTGGTGAGATGTAGGGACGGAGTTTGGTCGGGATCAGTATGTGGATGGCAGAGTCTGAATGAGCGGATCTTGTGAATGGTGGAGCTGAGGAGACCGGCGAGGACTGGGTTGGAGTAATCCAAACGGGAGGTGACAAACCATGCACGAGGGTTTCGGCTACATTTGGGGTAAGGTACGGTCGGAAGCGAGCAATGTGGCAGAGGTGGAAGAAGGAGGTCCTGGTCAAGGACCAGATGTGGGTGAGGAAGGACAGCTGGGGGTCGAAACGGATGCCTAGATTACGCACTGGTTCGATGAGTGTGAGGGAAAGCCCAGGGAGGTTTAGGAGGTCAGATCCACAGGAGTGAGGACGTTGACGGGGGCCAAGGAGTATGGCTTCCGTCTTGTTGACATTCAGCTGCAGGAAGTTTGCCCTCACGCAGGCCCTGATGTCTGCCAGATAAGCTGATAGAACATCAGCAAACCTGGTGTTGCAGCTGGAGGAAGCAAAGTAGATTTGTGCGTCATCTGCAAACATGTGAAAGTTTACCCAGTGTCCGGTTGACATCGCCCAGAGGGAGCATACAGATGAGGAAAAGAAAGGGGCCAAGGATGTAGCCCTGGGGCTGGGGGCAGGAGATGATGCCGAGGAAGGGGCTCGAGGAAGGAGTGGAGTGAGAGGGGTGACCCAGGTTGACCTGCAACAATTTGTTCCAGGAATTTGGCAAAGGAAGGTAGGTTGGAGATGGGATGGTAGTGTGAGAGATTAGAGGGAACGAGGATCGAGCGCCAAGGGCCAAGAATAAAGATATTCATTGCAAATGTTTTTTTTGTGTCTGTGGCTAGAATTGACAGCTGTGTTAGTATAGACCGGGAGAGAAAGGCTAGGCTAGGTTTTGTGTTTGTGGCTAGAATTGGCCCTTTTGATCTTCTAGTGAAGTTCTGAGATTATATAATAAAAATAATCCTTGCATTTAATACAGCGCATTATCACGTCTTTGAGATGTCTGAAAGCACTTAACAGAATATATTGTAAGGTTTAATTGACTGTATATTTTATGGGCGAAACGCAGCAACTAAGTGTCCCAGAAACAATCGTGGATTGAGTGACCAAAATATTATTTTTTATTGAAGGGATTATTACCACCGGAAAAGCGATCCACCAATCAACCAACAACTGAGTTCCTACTTACTGCTAGGTGAACAGAGGAGTAATAATAATAATAATCCTTGCATTTGATATAGCGCTTTTCACGTCTTCTAGACGTCCCAAAGCGCTTCACAGAATAGACTGTAAAGTGAATTGACTGTATATTTGTGGGCGAACGCGGCAGCCAATTGCGCACAGCAATGTCCCACAAACAGTCGTAGATTGAAAATGACCAATTTATTATTGTTTTGTTTTTTGGAGGATTATTATTAGGCTCTGTGTGGAGTAAGAAAACTTGCCCAAGGTTTCGCCCTCTGCCTGGGAATCAAACCCGGGTCCTTTCGCTTGCGAGGCAAGTGCTCTAACCACTGAGCTACAAGCCTCCACCAAAATTGTTAGGCAATGGGCATTGTGAAGTTGTGTGAGGAAACATTTGTGAAGATATTCATTAACCCAGTGGTATTTTAGCTGCTTTTAGTGAATTTAAATTCAGCGCAAGTCTCACAACCTCAGCCACCCCTAGAGTCACCCTGGTTTAAACAAAAAACATTCTATCCCCAGGAGGTTAAGACTGAGCACTGTGGTGATCCACATAATTCTGCGGGCATCAGGATCCTAAGAAACCACCTATGGCAAGAATCAAATCACCTGTTGTTTCAGGGTTGCACTGTGCCAGGAAAAACATGATGATCTGCTCCTCTCAATGAGCAGCTGTCATCTGTCTTTTACAATTAGGTTTGGTTGAGTGATTGGAAGCAGCAAAATAACACCAACGAGGCCAGGCACCTAGTGAGTGAACCATTAAGTCCTGTATCTATGCATCTGTGCTCCAGATCTTCAAATCCATTCACCATCTCACTTCTCCCTGCCTCTGCAATCTCCTCTAGCTTTATTTTCCTGCCCTTGCCTCCTATTTTCTACCTGTTTATTCCTTAATCCCTCCATGCCATCAATGGGTGTCCAAACCTTAAGTCACTATGCCAGCGTGTACTGTCCATTTAAATGTCCATAATGCGCTTTGTTTGAGATGCTGTGATATAACAGGTGATGCAAGGATTATTATAAATCACATTAGACATTTGTGACGTGGAAGCTCATATCTCGTCTGATGATTCATAATAATATCCTTTCATTTGATACAGCGCTTTTCACGTTTTCTAGACATCTCAAAGCGCCTCACAGAATATATTGTAAAGTGAATTGACGGTATATTTTGGGCGAAACTTAATCCTTTGGGACTTTTGGATTTGGTTTTGTTCACTGGGGAAGAATCCAGGAGCTCTCAAACTCTTTCCGTAGGGAAACTTGCCCTTTTCATATATGTACTCAGCCGTTTCACCTTCCTGCCTATTTGTGGTTAACAGATTAAAAAGATATTTATTTTACTTCAATACAACAACAACAACACAATTACATGTATATAGTGCCTTTCACGTTGGGAGGATGTCCCAAGGTGCAGGACAGACAGAGTTTCGGACCCGAGCTAGGGGTTGGGGTGGGGGAGGGTGGAGGGCAGTGGGGGAAGCAGGGAGATCGAAAGCACGGTCGAAGAGGAGGCTCTTGAGGTGGGTCTTGAAGGTGGCGAGGGGGGCGAGATGGAGGGATTGCGGGATGGAGTTACAGATGGTGGGGGCAGAGTGGCAGAAGGCCCGTCCGCCAATAGTGGGGCGAGCAAAGCGGGGGACGTGAAGCAGGCCGCAACCTGCTGAGCAGAGGGAGCGAATAGGATGGTAGGGGGTTAGGAGGCCAGAGAGATTGAGGGGAGCGAGACTGTGGAGGGTTTTGAAGGTGAGGACCAGCATCTTGAACTGTATCCTCTGTGTGATGGGAAGCCAGTGGAGTCGGGCGAGGATGGGGGTGATAGGGTCACGGAGCCTGGTGTGGGAAAGGACACGGGCTGCAGAGTTCCAGATGATCTGCAGCCTGTGGAGGGAGGAGTTGGGGAGGTCGACAAGCAGTGAGTTTGCATAGTCGAGCCTCGATGTAATGACAGCATGCATGAGGGTTTTGGTGGCCTGTGGCATGAGACAGTGTCGGAGCCCGGCAACGTTGCAGAGGTGGGGGAAGGCAGAGCAGGTCATGGTGCAGATGTGGGATACAGAGGACAGTTGAGGGTCAGACAAGACCCCAAGGTTCCAGACTGGCTTAGTGAGGTGGAGTGTGCAAACATGGATGTGAATAATGTGAGTATGGGGTGTGCATTTGAATCTGATACGACACTGCCTTAAATACAAGTATTTATTAGAAGCTAGTGAAATGAATTTAATCATTGAAATAAAATGGAAAACAATCTTCAACAAACAACAAATTTGTACAGAGCCTTTCATGCCCAGAAGACGTCCCAAGGTGCAGCGATTTGCACCCGAGCTGGGGGTTGGGATCAGGAAGGGGGTAGGGCAGTGATGGTGGGGGTAGAAGATGACTGAAGCCGTGGTCAAAGAGGCAAAGACCTTGAAGGGTGGGAGTGAGGCAAAGGGACTGTGGGATGGAGTTCCAAAGAGTGGGAGCAAATTTAACCTTCAATTTAAAGAATTGGGAATTAATTTAGTTGCCCCCATAATGTGCTCAAAAGTGGTTAATGTCTGATGTACTTTTTTTAAATAAATACTTTGAATAGGTAGATATAAACGTACACAAAAAAAAGCTTTAAAACTCCCAAATATTCTGAGCTATCACAAGAGTGAGGAGCCTAAGGGAGGCCAGGGCGTGAGATTGTGAAATCCAACCCTCCCCCCCCAAAAAAAAAAACAGCCCACGACACACAAGACCTGGAGTTCTATGTAGCTCAGTGGTTAGAACACTCGCCTCGCAAGTGAGAGACCTGGGTTCGATTCCCGGCAGGGCGAAACCTTGAGCAAGTTTGCTTACTCCACACGCCTGATAATAATTCCTCAAGAAGAAAGTGTGGTCTCTCAACCCACAGCTGTTTGTGGGACGCTGCTGTTTGCAATTGGCTGCCACGTTTCACTAACAAAATATACAGTTACTACACTTTATAGAGTATATTGTGAAGTGCTTTGAGACATCTCACGCCGTATCAAACGCAAGGATTATTATTTATTATGAGACAATACAAAGAAAACGTAGAGGATAATGAGGGAAACAAATAGAGAATGAATGAACAGTAATAATAGCTAAACAGTAAGATGTTTGGGGAGTGGGGCCTTGGGGAGGCTTCACTGAGGCCTTGGGGCAAGCGGACAACACGCAGTCAGGGCGGGTCACGTGACCAGGGCGCCAACTTTATTCCCCCCCTTTCTCAAATCCAAAGAAAATATTAATTCTTAATTAATTTGATCGCCGCCGGTATATTCCGGTAGCCAGGGGTCGGTTTGCGGGGTTTGCTGAGGTAACCCCGTGTGTTCGGAGCGGTGGCGACCCTTTATAACCGAGTGGATTTCTCGGGCCTTTTCGGCGGTGACGTCGTGTGTCTGAGCGGCCATATTGGGATCGGGCAGAGCCGAGAGAGAAACAAGAAGAGGAATTAAAGAGGAGAATCGGTTGGCATCGCAGCCATCGCGGGTTCGTTCTCGTCGCTTTTCTTCCCACTTCTCTCCCCTAAGCGCCCTCTCTCCGAATCTGTGTTTATTTCTCGCCCTCGAGGCGCCCGGGCTTTCATTTAAGAAGCTGCGTAGGAAGTTGATTATTTTCTCTCTTCCCTTCCGTTGGCCGTTGTTTTATTTTCCACCGAAGGCCCCAAACCTCTGGCGTCTTTATTTGATCTTATTGTGTTTGCGCGTATATATACATATATAGATTTATATTATATATCTATATATACATACACGCACTTATATCTGTGCGCGTGTATGTATAAATACAGTGGTCGTGTTTTAAAGCTCTTATGTTTATAGTTCGCGTTCGTTTTTTAAAAAAAATAAACCTGGTCACGAAGCATGTTTTGAATATAACGATTCAACCAAATTACTGTAAAATGTGTGTGTAGATTGTCTTTATTACAACCCTCGGCTCCTCATCGACCAAATCCACGAACATTCACTTCGGCTTCAAACACCTATTTCTCGTCAGTTTATGTTAGGAAAACTACGCGTTGTTTTCCTAACATAAACTGACGAGAAATAGGTGTTTGAAGCCGAAGTGAATGTTCAGTGATTTGGTCGATGAGGAGCCGAGCTCGTCTCTCTCTCTCTCTCTGGCCATTTGGTGACAACAAACGCAGCAGTCGTTGCCTGACTCAGTGAGTTGGGCAGTGACTTGTTTACCAGTCTTTGCTAATGCCTGGAGCTTCTACGTCTCTCCCCAACTGAACGTATATTTGGGGGGGAAATGGCTTGTTTTTTTTTAAAAAAACGTATATAGCAGGTTTTTAGATCCTTTGAAGCTATTATTATTATTGAAGCTGTTTATTTAAAACGAACTTTCCCTTTAATACCTACCCTGAGCTTTATTTCACTCTAATGTAGCAGACGTGTAAGTGGGCCTGTGGTTTATTTTAGGTGTTCTCAATGTACCTTCTGGGCTCAGCGCACTTTGGCAGTGAAGAAATTTAGATTACATAAGTGTCTTATTTTTTTAACAAAATGTTGACTTTTTGGGGGGTTGGGGAGTGGGTGGCGGGTGGGAGCAATTGGGAAACCAGAGATGGTTGCAATAAAATTAGCATGATTGAGCTTTTTGCATCTTTTAGATAAAAAATGTTAAGTATATAACTTAAGTAACTTGTGTTTAATTGACTAGATTTGCTTCCAACTGTAAATAATTTGCTGTTTTAATTATAATATTGTTTTAATGTACATTGTTCTCTGAACTAGAGAATCAGGTATATTTATTGCTCATGCAGTTTGTTATATAAAGTGGTATGACCATAAATTTTTTTAAAAATTACAAGTTGTAAAATTCAGACTCCAAAAATTGATCAGATATTTGTGTTCGCCCACAAATATACAGTCAATTCACTTTACAGTGTGTTCTGTGAAGCGCTTTGGGACGTCCTCCCGACGTGAAAAGCGCTATATCAAATGCAAGGATTATTATTATTATTATTATTATTGACCCTGCCTTCCTTTACTGTGAGTTTGAGCCCCACTTTTTGAGCTCACAGTCCAGTCTGCACTTTGAGCAGTTCTAGGTTGGATGTTCTGTCTTTTGGATAGTGTTAAACTGAGGTCCCCGTATGTCTTGTCTGGGGGATGTTAAAGATTCTGTGACAATACTGGACAAGGAATGGTGTTACTCCTGGTAGGTACTAGCCAACAATTCTCCAAATTGATTGGACAATGTCCTCCAGACTGTTGGTGCCGATACCGCATAACAAATATGTTTGCCTTTTAGAGCAGTTCCTACACTTGTGACCTGTGAAGTGCTTTGAGGTGTTTCATGTAGATGTTATTACAGTTTTTTGTCTCAAGTATTTTGTGTGTAAGCTTGGTTAGTGAATATTGGCAGTTATGCTTTGGGCCCAGTGTTGCCTTCAGATAGTGGCACAGACATGTCACCGAACAGCTGTCAGGATTGAAAGCTGTGGTGTATTTTGGCAGGCTGCTAATAGAATTGGTTTTGCTATTTGACCATTAACTGGATCTGCATACGGGTGCTACTGCTTTTAAAGCAGTATAAAAGTCACTGTCAGGTGACTTGAACTGCTAATGTTGCTTGCATGTCAAAACTAAGTAGGTAGTCATCCCATTTATCTACTAGAAAATGCAATTTTCACTCACTCATTTTGTATATTTGAAACATAACCGTTTCATCCAAGCAAGCTGTCAGTATACCATGGCTTTTGGTTTAGGTGGAATGGAGTGCTCTATGTTGTAGTGTCAACCTTTGTATTGTGCTTTGGGAGTTTGAGATCTGTCCATAGATATATAGTTGCTGCACTTGATGTTTTTCTGTGATATCAAGACCTTTTGGGTGCTTTTACCAAATGCAAGAATTTATCTCTCTTTAGACATACTCTCCAGTTTTTATTTTAGGATTTTGATTGGTTACCTCTGGATTGAGGAGACACGCTAATCATTTGAGCTAATGGAAAATGTTAGTGGGTTTCATGCTCATTAGAGCACTCGTAAAATTAAAATTACCTACTGAGGTCCCCACTTGCTTAATGGATAAACACTACCACACATTGTGTGGTAGTGAACATGTCGACCATTGAGGTCCCAGATCCAAGTTCGATATTAGATATTTGATCCCTGAATGAGGGAAGATAATGGGAGTATCTTAATGCTTGCTTTGGTCCAACCGAGCCTCTGTAAAGTGCTCTGAAACATTGCCCTATGTGAAAGGTGCTATATAAATTGTGGTAAAGACCCTAGAGATATTCTGAGTTTGTGGGCGTTGGGTGCAATAGAATTCCTTTTTGGTTTTGATGATTGTAAATCAATAAATTTGTTGGTTGAATATTTTCTTGATTGAATAGTCAATTATGACAATTAATAGCCCCGTGGACTACGGGTTGCTATTAACTGTCAAATAGACGGCAAATATCCCTCATTTGGGCTCATCCATGTTCCTGTTTGGGCAAAGTATGAGGGGCTGTCAGTATAATCCAGCATGATACATCATCTTGAGAAGTGCTAACAGAAGGGGAGCTTTCATTCCTATGTTAGGACTCCCTTGCAGTGTGTTGTGGATTAAGACAACCTTAAAACTATCTGTCCAGCAAAGTTTGTACTATAGATTCCTTATGCTACAGAAGTACATTTGGATTGTGTGGAGGATCTTTGTGTTCTAGTTGTGGGAAGCAGTTGCAACTTGACCTCAAGGTGTATGCAAATCATCTCTAATAATGAGATGGTTCCTCCCGAATGGCATGCAAACAGCTAGAGTGTGTCCAGTGTGTTGAGAAATGTGTTCCATTGCCAACTCTTGCTCTGCATAGTACTCCCATTTGCAGAAAGTTTCTTGTTGCTAGTAGTTATAAAAAGCCTAAATAACTGTGTGCAAGGAGCAAATCACTTGATGGTTCCAGGGGTTTAATTTTCAACTTCTGTGCTTATCAGAAGTCCATCGTCTGAGGGTTTGAGCTCCATTACTGAGCTTGTTTCTTGTGCCAGTTTGTAACCCTTGAAAGGGCTGTAATAATGTGAACCATTTTTTAAAAAAAATAAGTGGAAATAATGGAGACTTCAAAGATTTCTTTCCATCAGCCGTATTCTCAACTCCTTGCTTTATTTCTCAATGCTGATTGCATCTCCCAGCCTGATCTTGTATCTTCCCAGCTATGACCTTGTTTACCACTCTGGCTACCATTTGTATTGGCAGCTGCAGCATTTTGATGGTCAATGCTTAACCTTGAAGAGTTCAGAGATCTGCATTGTTATATTCTTAGTCTTATGCTCTGTATGATTTACAGTATTTAAATAGGCATGTAAATACTACCTCAGAGAGGTCTTGGAAAATATTTAATCTGTTTTAAGATTGAAATATGATTTGGAGAGTTTTTGATCATCTTTGTCAGTTTTATAAGTAACTCAGATTATGGTCAGTTGAAAAAGTAGTATTGGCCTATCAACTTGGATATCAAATTAATTGTTCATCATATTTGTGCTTAATTTCAGTAATTATTTAAATGGAGCTCCAGCAAGCCAAAATGTTCACTTAATCAGTTAGAAATCATATTGTTTAATATCTGCTCCTTCATTGTACAGTGAGTATAGGGACAACCTTGTGTGATGTAGCCTTTAAGGATTGGGTATATTTAGAACGCTTAGGATATGACAAACAATGTATGAGAGCAGTTGATCAGCGTGCTCTTAATTTTGTTTCTGTTAATGTTGTGTTTGTTACTTTGCTGTGTTGGCAGCATGAGTACGTTGGTTGGTTTGGTACAGGTTCTGAATGAATTTTCAAAGCAAAAAGTTGGTGAGTAATCCATGTAAGATCAAAATCTTGATAGAGATTTTCATAATAAAAGTGAGTCTTTTCTGTCCCTCTGCTGTTGTGAAGTTAGATTAGGTCGTAAAGAAACACAAGTCTGCTCTCTGAGAGAGAGCAGGATGAGGTTGAGAGGTCATTCAGAACTCTGCAGCTCGTGTACTGTCCCGCACCAGGCTTCAGGACCACATCACTCCCACCCTCGCCCTCGCTCGCCTCCACTGGCTCCCCATCCCCCAGAGGATTGATTTCAAGATCCTCATCCTCACCTACAAGGCCATTCCCGGCCTCGCTCCCTCCTACCTCTCCAACCTACTATCCCCCTACCTACCTGCCCGTACCCTCCATTCCTCCGGCTCCGGTCTGCTCCACGTCCCCCGCCCCAACCGCCCGACCATCGGTGGTTGGGCCTTCAGCCCCGAGGCTCTGGAACTCTATCCCCCAGTGCCTTCGCCGCTTCCTCCCTTTCCTCCTTCAAAACCTTTCTCTTTGACCGAGCCTTCAGCTCCCCTCTCGACTCCCTTCCCTCCCCTCACCCTGACCATTTCCCCCCTGCTCAGGTCATGACCCAACTGTGCAGCGCCTTGGGACGTCCTCCTGACGTGAAAGGCGCTTTATAAATGGAATCTTGTTGTTGTTGTTGTGTGTGTGTTAATTTTTTAAAATGTTTTTGCATCGTGCGCAGTTCTGGAGGAATGATTTTAAGTTCATGTCAAAGTAAAATTTCCTTTTCAAAATTAATTTGTAAGAATTGTCCTAGTCAGTTTTAAAATTGCTTCTTGACTATTTATAGAATGCCCTTGCTGTCTGACATTATGGTAATCTATTCTGCAGTGGGGAAACAAAGTAACAGTCTCTCATTTCACAGGGTACAATCTTAAAGAGTTAGCATTTTTTTCTATACTCAAATGTGTTATTATTAAAGCTCAATATTTAAAAACAAAGGTTCCTGTTGGGTATTATGCTGTATTAATGTCCAAGATGAATCCTGTGGTAATGGAGAGGTAATGTCAAACCATTTCAAGTGTTGTTAGACGTACCTGCTAACGTGCATTTAAATAATAATAATCCTTGCATTTGATATAGCGCCTTATCACGTCTTCGAGATGTCTCAAACCGCTTCACAGAATACAATGTAAAGTGAATTGACTGTATATCTTGTGGGCAAAACGCAGCAGCCAATTTCACACAGCAGCGTCCCACAAACAGTTGTGGATTGAATTACCATATTATTTTTTTAAATGTGCGTGTGTTTTTGTTAATTTATTTTTATTGCAATTACAGGTTGAATTGAATACAGGTTGAATTGAATACGCACAAGATCTTTATGAAAAGGAGGATTTATATGAAAAAAATTGTCTAAGCATCAGTGCAAGCGACCGCTTGACTTTTTAAAAGACTCGTACGAGTACTTGCCTTGATTGCAACAGAGGACTCGTATATATTGAGCAGACTTATTATCTCTTCATTTGAAGAGGTTTAGACTATTACAGTTTCTGTATGAACATTGGGCTGTAAACTGAAACCACATATATATATATTATATAGATATATATATAAAAATACACAGAATGACCACAGCCAGGACGGAGAATCCCATTATTATGGGTTTGTCTACTCAGAATGGGCAGTTGAGAGGTCCATTGAAGCCCAGCACTGGACCAGGAGGAATGCCACCACAGCAAACTACACAGACCAACCAACAGCTCCAGCAGCTAAAACATGCCAGCACACTGAATGGCACTCAGCAGCAAGCGCACACAACCAGCACCACCATCAAGTAAGTCGCTTTTACAGTACAAGAATACTTAAAAAAATCCTTAGCTGTTGCGTTGTGTAAACTAGTTTTGCTGCTTTCATTTAAAAAAATTTTTTTTTTACTAAGTCAGCTGCAGTGCCATGACTATTTTCAGTGTGCCTCAACTGAACCTCAGTTCCTGACTTGGTCCCATTTTCCGCTGAATTAAGACCTTCACTTATGTCCCAACTTGTAACACTTATAGTATTTGACTCTTGGAAGACCTTGATGTGAGGATAGAAATGGCAACCGGAAATCTTTCTTTATAGTTGAATGTCCTTTCCCCAACCCTATTTTCCTTTCGTTAATCACCGTGGACATTGTGAATGTGATGCTCTGAAGCTAGTTGGGTAAAATGTATTTTTTTGTACTAAAAATGTGAAGTTGTTTTAAGTGGGGCACAATGGTGGGTGTTTGCTGGTCTATGTATGGTGTAGATATTCTATACCCTTGGTACCTCTAAAGTGCAAGGCTTCATTTTGAAAAAGATTGATTTCAAATTCAGGATGGTGAGTTCATTTGAACGTTGCAGGACTGCATGAATTTCTGTTATGTAGAATGGACTTGGCTTGTATTTTGTGTGTGCAAGGTGCCTTTTGCCTTAGACACAAGCTATCACTGTAATGTTGGAGATTTAATCTCTTCTGTATATTTTAATTCCCTGTAGACCAGGTGATGACTGGAAGAAAAGCTTAAAATTACCTCCAAAAGACAGGAGGATGAAAACTTCGGTAAGAGTTTCAACAAAATTTGCTTCTGCTACAAAATATCATTCCAAACTGTGAGGAATAGAAATTCAGTAATTCCTTTCTTGAAAGACAATGGTATTTATCAGTCTTGTTTATCTGTAATGAAAATAATTGCTTGTGGGAGAAGCACATCTTCCTTTCCACCCAATATCATTACAAAAAATGAAAACAATGCCTACAGTCTTGTAAACTTCTTAAACTTTCCCCTCCTCCCCATAAATGCTTAGCATTCTGTTCTCCGTATGCACTTGGGAATGTTATTCTAATATCTAAATCAGGATATCTTGAGGTGGCTACATAGGTGAGATGCATAACAGACTACCCTGAATGCTAATGTGGAGCCCCCATACTGGTGTGGGAGATATTGCCTTATATTTTTGGAAAGATGGTTTTAAACTTTACACACACCACCGCTCCAATGACAAGCCAATTCATGATTATAAGAAAAGCGTTTGAACTTCTGCAGATATCAACACCAACTAGTTGTTTGACTCTGCCTTTGGGCGTGTCACTACTACCTTGGTTGGGCTTCCCCTTTATCTCCGTTAATAAAAAATGTTTTTTTGACATCCTGTGGGAAAATTGTAAGTGGGCTCGGGGTGCTGCATGCCTAGTGTAACGTGGTAACAAATGTTTGTATTAACATACAGCAGAATTGCACAAATCTGTATGCTACATTGTACACTGTTTTGTCATTGTTTAGGATGTAACCGCCACAAAAGGAAATGAATTTGAAGATTACTGTTTGAAGCGTGAGCTGCTAATGGGCATTTTTGAAATGGGCTGGGAAAAACCGTCTCCAATCCAGGTGTGTATGCTCTAACTGAAGCAGTGTTCTGGATGGGTTGTTGGAAGAGTTTGATTGAGAAAGTAGAAACTGTGTTTGTGCTTAATCTAGAGTAACAGTCTAAATGCTTATTTGTTGATCTCTCCACCGATCTGTTCTGGTCCTTCAGTTTGGCATTGGGTATTACTAATGCCAGATTGATGCTGTGCTATTCTCTGAAATGCATTGCCTTTGTTTGTTAGGAGGAGAGTATTCCTATTGCATTGTCTGGCAGAGACATATTGGCCAGAGCCAAAAACGGAACAGGTAAAAGTGGAGCCTACCTCATTCCATTACTTGAACGGCTGGACCTGAAGAGAGACTGTATTCAAGGTTAGTTGGTATAAATTCTTCCCCTCAAGTTTTACTGACAGCTCAGATTTAAAGATTTCGAACAGCTCACTATTTAGGCCACTTTTTTAAATTTGAAACAAGGTGACCAAATATCAAATTCACTAATAACACAACAACAAGATTCCATTTATAGAGCGCCTTTCACGTCGGGAGGACGTCCCAAGGCGCTGTACAGTTGGGTCAGGACCCGAGCAGTGGGGAAATGGTCAGGGTGAAGGGAGGGAAGGGAGGGAGCGAGGAGGGGGTAGAGAGTCGAGAAGGGAGCTGAAGGCACGGTCAAAGAGAAAGGTCTTGAGACCGGCCTTGAAGGAGGAAAGGGAGGAGGCAAGGCGAAGGCACTGGGGGATAGAGTTCCAGAGCCCAGGGGCTGAGAGGCCACCGATGGTAGGGCGGTTGGGGCGGGGGATGTGGAGCAGACCGGAGCCAGAGGAACGGAGGGTACCGGCAGGTAGGTAGGGGGATAGTAGGTCGGAGAGGTAGGAGCAAAGTAACTGTCCTTACAAACTTCAGTGATTATCTTACAGTTGGTAAATTACAATAGGCCTGCTGTTTGACATTGGGTCTTCTTTGAGGGAAAGAACAGCTTACAGTTGGTTAGGTGCTTCAGTGAATAAATCCCCAGCTTTACAATTACTGTGTTCTTATATAAAAAGCTGTGGATGCTGGATCCATTCACATTTTCAAGACTAAGGTGAATAGATGTTTGTTGGATCAGGGGATCAAGTGATATGGGGCAAAGGCGGGTAATTGGAGTTGAGGCACAGATCAGCCATGATCTATTAGAATGGTGGAACAGGCCCATGGAGCTGAATGGCCTCCTCCTGTTCTTATGTGCCTGTAACTATGTTTGTTTTTAGCTATGGTGATCGTGCCGACCCGAGAGCTGGCACTGCAGGTCAGTCAGATCTGTATCCAGGTCAGCAAGCACATGGGAGGAGTGAAAGTCATGGCTACCACAGGAGGAACCAATCTCCGAGATGACATCATGAGGCTTGATGAAACAGGTGAGCATGTAAACCCGTGTCATAATTAGCTTAAGATGATACTAGAACATGGGACTCAAAAACAGTGTTAATAATGTTTAGACACCAATTAGTAATATCTTGATCGCTTCAGAATATAGACTGATTGTCCTTCTGAACAGACCAACAGAATGTAACTCAACAGTTTGCATTCCGAAGTGCTGGGGATTTATCTGTACGTCTGATTTCAATATTCATTCTTCAATATCCAATGAATATTGAAAACTGAACTCATAGTCAAACCCACCTGCTGAAGCTCCCAGAGATTGCTGACGATTGAAAATGGTTCTAAAGGCGTAAGAGATCTGTATTCTGATAACATTCTTTGGTTTAATACAGTCCATGTGATCATTGCAACACCTGGAAGAATCTTGGATTTGATCAAGAAAGGCCTGGCGAAAGTTGACAACATACAGATGATTGTTTTAGATGAGGTAGGATGAGCAATTAGCTTGTAATCAGTTGAACGCCTTATTTAAAAGCACTGGTGCTCCCAACGCCACTGGGGCCTTTTCTGTACGTCTGATTCAAAATGTACTGAGGAGTGAATCTAATGTGGCTATTTAGGAATTGTTCTGGATTAATACATTGTTTTTTAATGCATTGTAACTTTTTTTAATAAACACTTTGCTGTGAATGACCAATTGATGCTGAGCAAATCAATTTTGTAGTGCCGAATGTTTAACTGAGCACTGTTGTTTTCCTGAATGTTCCTTCCTATAGGCAGATAAACTGCTTTCACAGGACTTTGTGCAGATGATGGAAGATATAATCTCTACATTACCAAGAAACCGGCAGATCCTGCTTTACTCTGCCACTTTCCCACTCAGTGTACAGAAATTCATGGTAAGAAATGGATGTTGGAAAATTTATTTGTAAATTTATCTGGGAGGTGGGATTCAGCTACAAATGTCTATCAAACTGCGTAATTTAAAAGCTATAGAGAGTACAATATCTTTCAATTCCTTATGTGATTGGGTTAAATGGGGATTCCTGATTAACTTTGCGTGTACATACTGAGGAAAGTTCTAAACCAAATAGCTACACCTGTCCTTGTAATCACCTAATCCAAAATCAATGGGCAATTCAGTGCAATATGCTTCTTGTAACTGAATTCTGTGTTTGGGAAAGAATATCTTTAAATGCTTTTGACAATATACTGACCACTGTGTTGTAGATGATGCAAGACTGCTTAGCTGAGAGAGTGCCAAATGTGAGTCATTTATTAAATTTAAATGACTCTAATCTAATTTCAGGTTAAATAATTTTAAAAATTGTTTTCAGGATCTGAATTAAAGTTTTTATACTGTGATCCTTTCTTTCAGAATTCACATTTGCAGAAACCGTACGAGATTAACCTGATGGAGGAGCTGACACTGAAAGGAGTAACCCAGTACTATGCCTATGTGACAGAACGGCAGAAAGTCCACTGCCTCAACACGCTCTTCTCTAGGGTAAGAGCAATATTCAGCCTAGTTTGTTACAGAAGTAACTAGTGGTTGCTAATCTCTTAAATATGGTAACTGCTTGTTTTTAAAGATGAGGAAAATGTACATCCTGAATTTTCTAATGATTGATATACATGTATTTTTAGCTCCAGATTAACCAGTCGATTATATTCTGCAATTCCTCCCAGCGAGTGGAATTGCTTGCCAAGAAGATATCCCAGCTGGGTTACTCCTGTTTCTACATTCATGCTAAAATGAGGCAGGTGAGTTATATTAAAAAAATGCAGACTTGGGTACTTGTGGTCAGAAGGAGTGTTCTCCAAAAGCCCAGTCTTGAGGTAAAAGTAACGGTTATTTCTCTCTCTCTCTCCCCCCCCCCCCCCCCCCCCCACACGCACACACACACAAGTGTGCGCACACACGGTCATTCGTGAAAATTTACAAATACACATTCATAGGGGTGTGAGGCTCAAATATTCATTTTAAAGTGGCTTTTATTTAATATAATAATAATATGGTCACTCAATCCAAGACTGTTTATGGGACGCTGCTTTGTGCAATTGGCTGACGCATTTCGCCCACAACATATAAGACGCTGTATCAAATGCAAGGATTATTATTTATTTTAACCTTTTAAGAATGTCCAAAATGTAGCTTGAAACCTCATTTAGGCCAATGAAGCTCATCCCGAATCACTTGTTTCATGACTTTCTCAGGGTCTTTCAGCTTGAGATTGTTTTGATGCACTTAAACAAAACTTGCTGTGGCACCTGGTGAAGTGAACTGTACAGTAGCTCCTTATTCAGGGATATAGAAGTCGAGAATTTGCTACTAAAATTTAACTTTTTGTTTTATTTTGACAGGAACATCGCAACCGTGTGTTCCATGATTTTAGAAATGGAATGTGTCGCAATTTAGTTTGCACTGGTAGGTACTTGCATTATTCCCATGTTTTCATTTCACTCAATGCCAGCTGAATATACACTGTTGGTTCTTGGTATTTTGAATGTTGTTAAAAACTAGTAGAGTGAGTTGTTTGGGAAGTACATCAAATCAGCCTCTTTATGTTTAATTTACAAGAGCAATCAAGAGTGACCAGTTTCCAGAAACTGAAGGGAAAGACTCTTGCTGGGAGTTTGCAACATGTATGATGATTATACTCTTCAGTGGTTAGCCAGGCATATCTTTCTGGGAAATGCATATGAAAGGGCCATAGAATATTGTGTTCTGAAAAACCTAGACACCCTCCTGGAGAAAGAAAGTATATATAGATGGATTTTCCAGCAGAATGGTATTGATGTATGGAAATGTTGATTTGTTTCACCAATTTTCAATGTAATACATTAGTCTCTGCCTGCTGTTCTCTCTTAGATCTGTTCACTCGTGGTATTGATATCCAAGCTGTGAATGTTGTAATAAACTTTGACTTCCCAAAGATTGCAGAGACCTATCTACATCGCATTGGCAGATCAGGTAAGCTTCTTTCTAAGATTTTTTTCACAACCTTCCTCATTGACTACAATTGTAGTTTGGTGAATTTTCAAACTTCTGAACCTTGTGGACTTTATACTGAGTGTCTAAAGGGTTCTTTGTAACTTTTCCTCTCCACAGGAAGATTTGGTCATCTGGGCCTGGCAATCAATCTCATCACATATGATGACCGCTTTAATCTGAAGGCCATAGAGGAGCAGCTAGGAACGGAGATCAAACCAATCCCTGGCAGTATTGACAAGAGCCTGTATGTTGCAGAATACCACAGTGAGCCGGATGGTGAGGACAAACAGTAGTACTGCAAACAAATTTGGTGAGTTTTCATTCAAATGTTTATAAGTGGATGTAAATTTATTGCATCCATGACTTGGAGTTGATAGAACTATAATAGTAAACTTTGGGGTTTAGCTTGTGGAGAGAGAATAGGGCCTGTGGGGAATGGTTGAGGTGGTATGGTCAATGTTTCAAGGGGTTCCCTGATGCAAAACATCAATGCCACTAAGATTCTCACATCTTTGCAGCCACCAACTGGTGGGTATAGTGAAATGGATTCCCTTTGCAAGGTTGATAGGTTTAATTTTAATCATTAGCTGTAAATGTTGGGACATTGATTTGTCTTCTCTTGTCCTCGGTGCAACTAATATTCTCTTTCACTCCCCCACAGGCACCGACCGATCACCGAATACAGAAACTGAAGTTTTTTTTTGTCTGTTCTGGAACACATCACTTCTTGGGGATACCCTTCTCTTTTCATCTAAGACAGTACCAAACTTCATATTTTTTTCCCCCCTTATTTGATGACACAAAGTGTAGTTCCCTGACTTTTGTGAAGGACCATTTCTTCCTGAGCTCAATGGTTTGCACTGTGTGCAGGGAGTGGACATCTATTGCACTAACTGGCACGGGGATCTAGACTAAGCAGCACTGAAGAGCTGGACTAAACAGTGGACAGCACACTTTGTTAACTCCTTCTTTTCTCTTCCCTCCCCTCCCTTTTCTCCTTTTGCTTTTTTGCTGACCAGCCACTGACCAGCATATTCATCTGATGATTTCTCAACTTCTCCAGCAAACTCATCAATCTTGGATCTACCAAGTTTTTTATGGTATTCGTATAAAGTGCCTTACAGTGATGCAGGACCATATGAATACCGCCCCTAGATTATAGCCACATTATTTTGGAGGGGGGAAGAGTTATGTAAATTCATTTGTCATTGGTTTCCATTGGGAAGAGTAAAATGGTATATGGAAAAGGGGAAGAATCTTCAACCGTTTTTAGATATTTTTAATTTTTGAAAGCGGCTATTTTTCTTGGAGAAGTTGAAGGAGAAGTCCGGATGAAATGTACTCTTGATGTTGTATATATGTTAGATATGACTGGGTTTAAAAAAATTTTTTTTTTTTTTTGCAGCATTTGCGTTCCAGAAGGAAAGCTTGCATTTTATTTTAAACTTTTTTTCTCTCCTCTTCGTGGTGGTCGTTAAGAAAATTCCCAGCACGACCCTAGCAGAACACTAAGAAACGCCTCTTAGACTCGAATGTAGACTGTTCTGCAGCACCTACACTCAGACTCTGGGGAACTTCTAAAATGGGCGTCCATTTTCCTTCTGTGAGCGAGGTGAAGTGTGTCCCACGGAATTTTTGATGTGTATACACCTGTAAACATGTAAATAGTTTTTTTCTATCATCTTGTTACCTTTGATAAAAAAAAAATGGTTACTTGGGCTGGGAGGGGATGGGTAGGATGTTGCTGTATAGCTAAAGCTGTGAGGGGCACTGTTGCATGCAACATCAGCAACCTAAAACCAACTGTGTTATAGTGTGAAGCAATCCTATAGCTGATAGCAACCTTAAAATGACAGCTGTTATATAAATGGCAACTTTATACATTCCTGCATCAAAGGGTTAGGATACAATGGTCCCCATAACACTGCCAGGTGTTTGGTGTTAAAATACCACAATTAACAAAGGATTCTTTCACCCCCCTGACCCCCCCCCCCCAAGAGAAATGGTTGAGCCTTGGAACACTTCATTGGCTTCATAGTGCTTACTTCATGTGAAGTAGGTGAAATATCCCAAATGAACTGATGGATTTTGTAAGAACAGCAGCTGGGTATCATTTGCTCCCATCGACAATGGTAAATGGTGAAATCTGTTCAAATGCAGTGACCCGTTAAACAATGGCAGCTGCATTCAACCATGGCTGCCACTCATTTCTCTTCCTTCGACCTTTTAATCCCTTCACCTGATCTTCATTGTGATTACTGCACTTGGTGATCTACACTGCATTTAAAGGCAACTTAGCTACACTTAATTCTTTCGATTAGGCTATCTCGACCTTGTGGAAAAAAAACATAGGCAACCTGAGCACTTTTAAATTCAATCCTCTCCACGTCACCTCCTGAATCAAAGCTCAACTATTAAGACTGAGGTAACTATGATTTTTGCCCAAAATATAACTTTAAAGAACTTTAAAAAGTTGGCTCTATTTGTAAATCTCTTAACTGAATCTAATTTGGCATGTCTATTCCAGCTAAACTGATAACGTCAGTATCCATTGAGCAAGAGCTGCAGCCCTTGTTGCAGGGTGCCACGGTTCTTACTGTCCACGTACCTACAGGCTAACATCGCTGTAGTAAATCAGTGCCACTTTGACCCTCTTCATTCGTGTTAAAAGTAGACTGAGTAAAATTGGAGCAGCCTTTTGAGTCATTTATTGTACTTTTGTTATTTTAAAATATTTTAACTCCTTATACCACACACATGCTTAACCAGTTCCATGATCACATACACCATAGTGTCACTATAATTTCAGAATAGACTGATACCATCATATCTGCTTATGAACCCTTTTAAGCATTGCTAATGGTATGTCTAGTGAACAGAAATCCTTTCTCGGCAGTCATTGATAAGATGTGCATTTGTTACAGCTTTACTTTTAGCATATCTACCTAAACATGGTTTCTATTCCATCCTTTGTTAGGGTCCTTTTTTGTTTCTTAATGGTCAACTTCTGTATTAGGAATTGTAGTAAAACCCATTTTCTTTTCTACAGCTATTCAATAATCAGCTGTAGGTGCCGTTGCTTGCAGCTGTGCCCCTCACAGTGTGCTGGTAGATTGGCCTGATGTACAGGCAGTGAGAAGGGATGGGACAGAAAACTTGATTGCTAATATCCTTCGGCCCCAGCAACTGCTGTCTCAGAGGCACCTGTACTTAAACCAACTCCAACTGTAGTCATAAGCTGGACCTGGTTATGATCCAAGTGCAAAATCGTGGCTGGAAGAATCCATTTTTAAGAGAATAATTTGCCATTAAAGGAAATTTCCACTCCCTTACCCGTTTATAGGGACAGAGGAGCACACCCTGTAATCTGGACAGTTGATAAAGCTATAGTGCTGAAAGCTTGAGTCTCCCTATAGCTTTTATTTAGTAGTGGTTAACACCTAAGAGTCCACAAGTTTTGGAGTTGGGTTTTTGGAGTGTTGGATTCGCGATTTGTTCAGTCTACTAAAATACCTATCCTTGGTTTTGTTAATGTGGGGTCTGGACCATCGACCCGTTGGATTCTTCCACCCCTCAAATTCCTTCCCATTTTGAAGTGCACATCGTTTTTTCTCGAGTATTTAGGGATGGGTTTGAGTAAAGAGTATGAATACTTCAGGTAGAGTGCAATGGAATCCGATATTCAAGGTGTTTGAAACCTCTTGTACTTACAAAGTGTGCAATGAGCATTTTGTGCAATGTTTTGCCAATATTTGTTTTTAATCAGGATTTATAGTCATTTAAACTTGCACTTTTTGGGAGTAGAGTTCTGGGTGTGTTGCAGGTGCCTCTGTGATAGATTTCCATTTTGTCTAATGTGCAAAGATTATAGGGTTTACAAGATTTAAAGTGCTGTAATATAAGTGTCAGTAGCAGAAAGCTGTGTTGATGGACAGACGTGAGCATGTGTGCCAGCTGCATAAACACCTTCAGTTCTGCAGGTACTTCACTTAATAGCAGCTATTTGGGGAGGGGGGAGGGAGGGAAGGAATTGACCAAACGTAGCATATTGCTCGTGTACTGCAGCTTTCTTCATCTCTGGATACCGATGAAGGGATCGTTCCAAGCAGAGTCACTTCTCGTCTTGTACATAGAACCGAGGGCAGTGTGCACATCAGACACAAAGCTTGTGTTGGACTTTGAAAGTACACACTGCCATCATTGACAAGCAAGCCTAGTGCCATGGGTAACGATCTCTGTCGAAGCACAGATACATTTGAAAATATGTAGTATTAATGCTTAGCCTCGCCTGTGTAAGGGTTGGCACTTAACTAGACTGTCTCCCAGTGGCTTCCCATGTTGGCAGCTATCTGGTGAGGGTAAGACAATGCCGGAGTATGCAAATTGTTTTGGATAGGGAAAGATGCTTTCAGTTACCAGTGTTGAGGCAAAATGTGTGCCCACATTGTCTCAACAGTGGTTTTCTAATTTATAAAAGCCACTGATGTAGGTAGGTAACAGCAGATACCTACATCAACCTGCTGTAAGAACTCTGTCAATGTACAGTTCTAAAAAAGACAGATCCTTAGTGAAGAGCAACTGACCTAACTCTGTTACTGAGGAACTACTTTTTACTGTAGGGCTTTTCCTACAAAAGGGTTGTTCTGTAATCATTCACAGTGCGTTCCACAACAGGTGACTGGCTTCTTTGAATACAATAGGGAGGGGGGGAGGGAAAACAATTATTTTTAAAGTACAGAATGAGATGAGCATCTTTCCCTAGTTAGTTCTCCGCCAAATTTTGTTTCGTGCAATAGGTAAGACCTTGCTGGCTTGAATCATCCTCAGCCAATGGTTGCACGCTCAGTGACCTAATCATCTCATTCTAAGTTTTTTTGGGGTTTGTTTTTGGGGATGGGTGGGAGGGTCTGCTGTTCAGAGGGCTGCATCTACACTGAAATTTTTTGTCCACATGAGTTCAAAATGGATGTGTGCTCTGCCACTGTCCAAAGTAAATTTTCATATGGTTAAGATGACCAACATGTCCAATCCAGTGTTTTGTTGGGATTAAAGGGCATTTTGACTTTGGTAAATTGGACCTTTTTAATTATTTTCCCCTTTTCATTAACTTCTCAAGGCAAAAATTAAGGGGGTGGGGGGAGAGATCGCCACTTATTGTGCAGATGTAGCCCTCTGATTTGGGGGGAGGGTGGGGTGGGGGGACAGGGTTGGGGGTTTAAAACTCAAAAGTTCAAAATAACGCAAAATGCATATGGATCTCTACCAAAGGGTTGGGGTTTGGGCTTGAGTTTCAAAAAGACGAAGACAAAACTTGTCCCATTTCAGTGTTCGAGTAAAAGACTATGCCATTACTAAAGCCGTTTTACCAATTTGAACAAAAATCCTTAATTTGTCATTCAAAACAAATTGAGTGCATTCTAAACCCAATACATTAGTTATGGATACTGAAACATATAGGACTGTTAAATGGTAATGCTTCCCTAAAGTAAACGTTGTTGCTTACAGATATGAAGACAAGCCTACTTAAAAAAAAATCAAATTTGGTTCCTTATCGGTAAAAATTGGCTCTGAATATTCCAGTGTACTAAACTTCTTTCAAACCAGAATTTTTTTTTCCTTTAAGGCTGATGCTATGTGGTCTGGTTGTGAAATGATTTGGATGCCTATTCAGAATGAGTTGTGAGAAGATTGTTTAAAGAAAGCTACAGAAGTTGCATTTTGTTCATTTCAATAAAAACTCACTGGAATCTAATTGATTGTGTTTTAATTTATTTTGCTCTGACCAGTGTTCTAGACTTGTGCTCAATTAGTAATTGCTGGTTATTTGGGGGAGGAAAAGGAAAGTGTCTACGATCTCGAGGATTATGTAAAGATGCACCTTCAGGACCCATTTACCCAATCCCTGTGTGGTACAGTCAGAGAACATTGGTTCAGCCCAAAGACTAAGTGGCTTGAAAGATTGGGATGAATAAATGTATTTGGTTCCACTATTCTGAGTGCTTGATCCCAGCTGGTCAGTGCTCTGGTTAGTGCTAGGTTTAGCTGGTTGAACTCCAGCAACTCCTCCCTCCTACCTCTCCGACCTACTATCCCCCTACTTACCTGCCCGTACCCTCCGTTCCTCTGGCTCCGGTCTGCTCCACATCCCCCGCCCCAACCGCCCTACCATCGGTGGCCTTCAGCCTCTCAGCCCCGAGGCTCTGGAACTCCATCCCCCAGTGCCTTCGCCGCTTCCTCCCTTTCCTCCTTCAAGGCCGGTCTCAAGAGCTTTCTCTTTGACCGAGCCTTCGGCTCCTCTCTCGACTCTCTACCCCCTCCTCGCTCCCTCCCTTCCCTCCCCTCACCCTGACCATTTCCCCCCCTCCTCGCTCCCTCTCTTCCCTCCCCTCACCCTGACCATTTCCCCAATGCTCGGGTCCTGACCCAACTGTACAGCGCCTTGGGACGTCCTCCCGACGTGAAAGGCGCTCAATAAATGGAATCTTGTTGTTGTATTTGAATTCACAATCCGGGGTCTTTAAACTGTGACTCCGGCCAAAGACGTGTAAAATTCTCAAATTGGGTAAGTAGGATTTATCCCTCCAGTCCTGGGAGTACATTCCAAACACAGACATTTATAGAAATTTATAGACATTTACCTACTATAGAGTAGGTAACATACATTCGTGGATCTCTTGTCCAGTTTGGATATTAAGCATGTTGATTGGTTTCTGCATTGGTCCATATCCCCCACCCCCCAAAAAAATAAAAGTGACAATGAGACCAGTTTAGTAGGGTTTACTAGGAGGTTGGAACACTTTCTTGCTAATAGGATGCAAAATGAATAAATTTTTGTTGACCCGTACCAGTTCCCCTTCCTGTGCTTCCTTTCATTTGGAAAGTTCTGTTATATACGGGTGTCACTACAGATCCCGGATCAGTGTAGAGCCGGGTGACTGGGCTACCCACCTGTCCCTCATTTACTGTGTACGTTTGCAACTCACAGAACATTAAATTCAACCACTTGATTGGTCATTTTACAAAGAAACTTGTTTCTGTTTTAATTGAAAACACCATGAGCAAAATATCAAGTCCAAAAAGCACAGAAATGATTGTGTGGCTTGTCTGGAAACGTCCACTAACTGCTCTGTCAATATTGAATGCAAAAACTAAAAATCAATTAAACTTTTTTTAAAAAAGCACCTGGTGAGAACTTTTAAATTTGTAAGAAAACGTGATTTGGGGGAAAATAATCCTTGCATTTGATAAAGTGCCTCATCAGTGTTAAAACATTTCAAAGGGTAGTGTCTGCATTTGTATACGGATGGGTTGGCCAATTTGAACAGAGTAATGTTGCACAAACTGCCCTGATGAGAATGACTTGGTCAGAATAATTTAGTCACTCAATACACGATGGTCACTACACTTTAAAGTATATTCTGTGAAGCGCTTTGTGATGTCTCTTAAAGATGTGATTAAGTGATGTATCAAATGCAACGATTATTTTTATTCTAACCAATTTATGTGAGGAATATGTTGGTGAGATTTTTGAAAAAAAAACAAGATTTCATTTATAGAGCGCCTTTCACGTCGGGAGGACGTGAAATAATTGAATAATAATTGAATAATTCAATTGAACGTTGAATAATAATATACATTTGATATAGCACCTCATAATGTCTTCTAGAGGTCTCAAAGTACTTCACAGAATATACTGTAAAGTAAATTAACCATATACTTGTGGGCAAAATGTCCACTAATAATAATAATAATCCTTGCATTTGATATAGCGCTTTTCACGTCGGGAGGACGTCCCAAAGCACTTCACAGAACACACTGTAAAGTGAATTGACTGTATATTTGTGGGCGAACGCGGCAGCCAATTGCGCACAGCAATGTCCCACAAACAGTCGGGGATTGAAAATGACCAATTTATTATTGTTTTTGGTGTTGGAGGGATTATTATTAGGCTCTGTGTGGAGTAAGGAAACTTGCCCAAGGTTTCGCCCTCTGCCTGGAATTGAACTCAGGTCTCTCACTTGCAAAGCGAGTGCTCTAACCACTGAGCTACAGGACTCCACAAATATAACTATACCTAATGAAAGGTAATCTAAGAATTAATTAACCCTTTTTAGTTGCACTGCCTATGCTTGTAAACCCTTCAACATCCGTGTTGTCGGCTGCTGGTGGTGTTGGCGGCTGGCGTCTGGTGTTGGCGTCTGGTGTTGGCGGCTGGTGTTGGCGGCTGGTGTTGGCGGCTGGCGTCTGGTGTTGGCGGCTGGTGTTGGCGGCTGGCGTCTGGTGTTGGCGGCTGGCGTTTGGTGTTGGCGGCTGGCGTCTGGTGTTAGCGTCTGGTGTTGGCGGCTGGTGTCTGGTGTTGGCGGCTGGTGTCTGGTGTTGGCGGCTGGTGTTGGCGGCAGGTGTCTGGTGTTGGCGTCTGGTGTTGGCGGTTGGTGTCTGTGTTGGCGGCTGGTGTCTGTGTTGGCGGCTGGTGTTGGCGGTTGGCGACTGGTGTTGGCGGCTGGTGTCTGGTGTTGGCGGCTGGTGTCTGGTGTTGGCGGCTGGTGTCTGGTGTTGGCGGCTGGTGTCTGGTGTTGGCGGCTGGTGTTGGCGGCTGGTGTCTGGTGTTGGCGGCTGGTGTCTGGTGTTGGCGGCTGGTGTCTGGTGTTGGCGGCTGGTGTCTGGTGTTGGCGGCTGGTGTCTGGTGTTGGCGGCTGGTGTCTGGTGTTGGCGGCTGGTGTCTGGTGTTGGCGGCTGGTGTCTGGTGTTGGCGGCTGGTGTCTGGTGTTGGCGGCTGGTGTCTGGTGTTGGCGGCTGGTGTCTGGTGTTGGCGGCTGGTGTCTTGGCGGCTGGTGTCTGGTGTTGGCGGCTGGTGTCTGGTGTTGGCGGCTGGTGTCTGGTGTTGGCGGCTGGTGTCTGGTGTTGGCGGCTGGTGTCTGGTGTTGGCGGCTGGTGTCTGGTGTTGGCGGCTGGTGTCTGGTGTTGGCGGCTGGTGTCTGGTGTTGGCGGCTGGTGTCTGGTGTTGGCGGCTGGTGTCTGGTGTTGGCGGCTGGTGTCTGGTGTTGGCGGCTGGGTCTGGTGTTGGCGGCTGGTGTTGGCGGCTGGTGTCTGTGTTGGCGGCTGGTGTCTGGTGTTGGCGGCTGGTGTCTGTGTTGGTGGTGTCTGTGTTGGCGGCTGGTGTCTGGTGTTGGCGGCTGGTGTCTGTGTTGGTGGTGTCTGTGTTGGCGGCTGGTGTCTGGTGTTGGCGGCTGGTGTCTGTGTTGGTGGTGTCTGGTGTTGGCGGCTGGTGTCTGTGTTGGTGGTGTCTGGTGTTGGCGGCTGGTGTCTGGTGTTGGCGGCTGGTGTCTGGTGTTGGCGGCTGGTGTCTGGTGTTGGCGGCTGGTGTTGGCGGCTGGTGTCTGTGTTGGTGGTGTCTGGTGTTGGCGGCTGGTGTCTGTGTTGGTGGTGTCTGTGTTGGCGGCTGGTGTCTGTGTTGGTGGTGTCTGGTGTTGGCGGCTGGTGTCTGTGTTGGTGGTGTCTGGTGTTGGCGGCTGGTGTCTGGTGTTGGCGGCTGGTGTCTGTGTTGGCGGCTGGTGTCTGTGTTGGTGGTGTCTGGTGTTGGTGTCTGGTGTTGGCGGCTGGTGTCTGGTGTTGGCGGCTGGTATCTGGTGTTGGCGGCTGGTGTCTGGTGTTGGCGGCTGGTGTCTGTGTTGGTGGTGTCTGGTGTTGGCGGCTGATGTCTGTGTTGGTGGTGTCTGGTGTTGGCGGCTGGTGTCTGTGTTGGTGGTGTCTGGTGTTGGCGGCTGATGTCTGTGTAGGTGGTGTCTGGTGTTGGCGGCTGGTGTCTGTGTTGGTGTCTGGTGTTGGCGGCTGGTGTCTGTGTTGGTGTCTGGTGTTGGCGGCTGGTGTCTGTGTTGGTGGTGTCTGGTGTTGGCGGCTGGTGTCTGTGTTGGTGGTGTCTGGTGTTGGCGGCTGGTGTCTGTGTTGGTGTCTGGTGTTGGCGGCTGGTGTCTGTGTTGGTGGTGTCTGGTGTTGGCGGCTGATGTCTGTGTTGGTGGTGTCTGGTGTTGGCGGCTGGTGTCTGTGTTGGTGTCTGTGTTGGTGGTGTCTGGTGTTGGCGGCTGGTGTCTGTGTTGGTGTCTGGTGTTGGCGGCTGGTGTCTGGTGTTGGCGGCTGGTGTCTGTGTTGGTGGTGTCTGGTGTTGGCGGCTGGTGTTGGCGGCTGGTGTCTGTGTTGGTGGTGTCTGGTGTTGGCGGCTGGTGTCTGGCGTTGGTGTCTGGTGTTGGCGGCTGGTGTCTGTGTTGGTGGTGTCTGGTGTTGGCGGCTGGTGTCTGGCATTGGTGTCTGGTGTTGGCGGCTGGTGTCTGTGTTGGTGGTGTCTGGTGTTGGCGGCTGGTGTTGGCGGCTGGTGTCTGTGTTGGTGGTGTCTGGTGTTGGCGGCTGGTGTCTGGCGTTGGTGTCTGGTGTTGGCGCCTGGTGTCTGTGTTGGTGGTGTCTGGCGTTGGTGTCTGTGTTGGTGGTGTCTGTGTTGGTGGTGTCTGTGTTGGTGTCTGTGTTGGTGGTGTCTGGTGTTGGCGGCTGGTGTCTGTGTTGGTGGTGTCTGGCGTTGGTGGTGTCTGTGTTGGTGTCTGTGTTGGTGGTGTCTGGCGTTGGTGTCTGGTGTTGGCGGCTGGTGTCTGTGTTGGTGGTGTCTGTGTTGGTGTCTGGCGTTGGTGTCTGGCGTTGGTGTCTGGTGTTGGCGGCTGGTGTCTGTGTTGGTGGTGTCTGTGTTGGTGTCTGTGTTGGTGGTGTCTGTGTTGGTGGTGTCTGGTGTTGGCGGCTGGTGTCTGTGTTGGTGGTGTCTGTGTTGGTGTCTGTGTTGGTGGTGTCTGGCGTTGGTGTCTGGTGTTGGCGGCTGGTGTCTGTGTTGGTGGTGTCTGTGTTGGTGTCTGTGTTGGTGGTGTCTGTGTTGGTGGTGTCTGGTGTTGGCGCCTGGTGTCTGTGTTGGTGGTGTCTGGCGTTGGTGTCTGTGTTGGTGGTGTCTGTGTTGGTGGTGTCTGTGTTGGTGGTGTCTGGCGTTGGTGTCTGTGTTGGTGGTGTCTGTGTTGGTGTCTGTGTTGGTGGTGTCTGTGTTGGTGTCTGTGTTGGTGGTGTCTGTGTTGGTGGTGTCTGGCGTTGGTGTCTGTGTTGGTGGTGTCTGTGTTGGTGTCTGGCGTTGGTGTCTGTGTTGGTGGTGTCTGTGTTGGTGTCTGGCGTTGGTGTCTATGTTGGTGGTGTCTGTGTTGGTGTCTGTGTTGGTGGTGTCTGTGTTGGTGGTGTCTGTGTTGGTGGTGTCTGGCGTTGGTGTCTGTGTTGGTGGTGTCTGTGTTGGTGGTGTCTGTGTTGGTGGTGTCTGTGTTGGTGTCTGTGTTGGTGGTGTCTGTGTTGGTGGTGTCTGTGTTGGTGTCTGGTGTCTGTGTTGGTGTCTGTGTTGGTGGTGTCTGTGTTGGTGGTGTCTGTGTTGGTGTCTGTGTTGGTGGTGTCTGTGTTGGTGGTGTCTGGCGTTGGTGTCTGTGTTGGTGGTGTCTGTGTTGGTGGTGTCTGTGTTGGTGGTGTCTGGCGTTGGTGTCTGTGTTGGTGGTGTCTGTGTTGGTGGTGTCTGTGTTGGTGGTGTCTGGTGTTGGTGGTGTCTGGTGTTGGTGGTGTCTGTGTTGGTGGTGTCTGTGTTGGTGGTGTCTGTGGTGGTGTCTGTGTTGGTGGTGTCTGTGTTGGTGGTGTCTGTGTTGGTGGTGTCTGTGTTAGTGGTGTCTGTGTTGGTGGTGTCTGTGTTGGTGGTGTCTGTGTTGGTGGTGTCTGTGTTGGTGGTGTCTGGTGTTGGTGGTGTCTGTGTTGGTGGTGTCTGTGTTGGTGGTGTCTGGCGTTGGTGTCTGTGTTGGTGGTGTCTGTGTTGGTGTCTGTGTTGGTGGTGTCTGGTGTTGGTGGTGTCTGTGTTGGTGGTGTCTGTGTTGGTGTCTGTGTTGGTGGTGTCTGTGTTGGTGGTGTCTGTGTTGGTGGTGTCTGTGTTGGTGGTGTCTGTGTTGGTGGTGTCTGTGTTGGTGGTGTCTGTGTTGGTGTGTCTGTGTTGGTGGTGTCTGTGTTGGTGGTGTCTGTGTTGGTGGTGTCTGTGTTGGGGTGTCTGTGTTGGTGGTGTCTGGTGTGTGTGTTGGTGTCTGTGTTGGTGGTGTCTGTGTTGGTGGTGTCTGTGTTGGTGGTGTCTGTGTTGGTGGTGTGTGGTGTTGGTGGTGTCTGTGTTGGTGGTGTCTGTGTTGGTGGTGTCTGTGTTGGTGTCTGTGTTGGTGGTGTGTGGCGTTGGTGTCTGTGTTGGTGGTGTCTGTGTTGGTGGTGTCTGGTGTCTGTGTGTGGTGTCTGTGTTGGTGTCTGTGTTGGTGGTGTCTGTGTTGGTGGTGTCTGGTGTTGGTGGTGGTGTCTGTGTGGTGTCTGGTGGTGGTGTCTGTGTTGGTGGTGTCTGTGTTGGTGGTGTCTGTGTTGGTGGTGTCTGTGTTGGTGGTGTCTGGTGTTGGTGGTGTCTGTGTTGGTGTCTGTGTTGGTGGTGTCTGGTGTTGGTGGTGTCTGGTGTTGGTGGTGTCTGTGTTGGTGGTGTCTGTGTTGGTGGTGTCTGTGTTGGTGGTGTCTGTGTTGGTGGTGTCTGTGTTGGTGGTGTCTGTGTTGGTGGTGTCTGGTGTTGGTGGTGTCTGTGTTGGTGGTGTCTGTGTGGTGTGTCTGTGTTGGTGGTGTCTGTGTTGGTGGTGTCTGTGTTGGTGGTGTCTGGTGTGTTTGGTGGTGTCTGTGTTGGTGGTGTCTGTGTTGGTGGTGTCTGTGGTGGTGTCTGTGTTGGTGGTGTCTGTGTTGGTGGTGTCTGGCGTTGGTGTCTGTGTTGGTGGTGTCTGTGTTGGTGGTGTCTGTGTTGGTGGTGTCTGTGTTGGTGTCTGTGTTGGTGTCTGTGTTGGTGGTGTGTGGTGTCTGTGTTGGTGGTGTCTGTGTTGGTGGTGTCTGGTGTTGGTGGTGTCTGGTGTTGGTGGTGTCTGTGTTGGTGGTGTCTGTGTTGGTGGTGTCTGTGTTGGTGGTGTCTGTGTTGGTGTCTGGTGTCTGTGTTGGTGGTGTGTGGTGTTGGTGGTGTCTGTGTTGGTGTCTGTGTTGGTGGTGTCTGTGTTGGTGGTGTCTGGCGTTGGTGTCTGTGTTGGTGGTGTCTGTGTTGGTGGTGTCTGTGTTGGTGTCTGTGTTGGTGGTGTCTGTGTTGGTGTCTGTGTTGGTGGTGTCTGGTGTTGGTGGTGTCTGTGTTGGTGGTGTCTGTGTTGGTGGTGTTGTGTTGGTGTTTGTGTTGTGTCTGTGTTGGTGGTGTCTGTGTTGGTGGTGTCTGTGTTGGTGGTGTCTGTGTTGGTGGTGTCTGTGTTGGTGGTGTCTGTGTTGGTGGTGTCTGTGTTGGTGGTGTCTGTGTTGGTGGTGTCTGTGTTGGTGGTGTCTGGTGTTGGTGGTGTCTGTGTTGGTGGTGTCTGTGTTGGTGGTGTCTGTGTTGGTGGTGTCTGTGTTGGTGGTGTCTGGCGTTGGTGTCTGTGTTGGTGGTGTCTGTGTTGGTGGTGTCTGTGTTGGTGGTGTCTGGTGTTGGTGGTGTCTGTGTTGGTGGTGTCTGTGTTGGTGTCTGTGTTGGTGGTGTCTGTGTTGGTGGTGTCTGGCGTTGGTGTCTGTGTTGGTGGTGTCTGTGTTGGTGGTGTATTCTAAAAGCTCCAGTTATCGATGCCACGTGAAGCTTCTGTAAATACACGTTGCGCCAATTGCGCATCCTGCTCCGCGCATCCTACTCCGAGCTGTTACCTCTTGCCGCACGCGGCCTCTTCTTGTTGTGTGCGTCACTCTCCACGTGGTCCAATCGGCGCGGGGGGCGCGGCTGTGGAGGCGGCGTGGACCAATGAGTTTGGGAGATTGGTGATTGACAGCGGATGCCACCAATGAGCGCTCGCCGCGTGCTGGCGCCAACGCTGACTTGGTGACCCGCCCCCCGAAGCCCGGTACAGCGGCGCCGGCAGCAGCACGAGCCCCGGACACGGACGCAGCGGCCCCGCCAGCTTTAGCACTCGGTCAGTTCCCGCTGTCACCTCACGTTCCCGAGCCGACTGCTGCTGTCCCGCCTGAGGCCTTGCCCAGCCCGGGGAGCCGGGTGTGAAGCCGCCCGCCCCGCGGCCCCGGCTTGTGACCTCGCGCAGTGAGGCTGAGTCGGCGTCGGGGCCCAGACTGTCTGTATCCATCTGAAGCCTTTCATGTAAAAGGGGCAGATCGTTGCAGTGATGGCTTCTTCCTGTCTCTTACCTCTGTTTATGTGTGTGTCTGTCTCTCTGTATGTGTGTATCTGTGTGTGTATGTGTGTCTCTCTCTGTTTGTCTGTCTCTGTGTGTGTCACTGTCACTCTGTCTCTTTTTTGGGGTGGGAGGGGGTTATTAATGTAAATAGTGAAACTTTACACCAGTTAAGATCAGTTACCCTCACCTCCCCCTCCCCCCAAAAAAGCACAAAAAGCTGTTAGAAGTTTTGAACAGAATGTTAGGATTAGTTGGTAAACTGCAAAATTTACAATGTCTTTTTAAAAGAATAAATAAATATCTGTTTAAAGAAAACATTACTATAATAAACCATTTCCTTGTCATATTAGGGAGGGGAGTTGGGATTACACGCTCTTTAAACTGAATGTTATGGATTTGAATTGAACTCCTTTTTATGCACAAATTCTAGGATTTATCATATATAGAGATACTCACACACAAGTTCAGCTTTTGACCCTTTAATTACATGTATCACATATGTTGCATCATACTTTAGCACAAGGCTACAGTATTACTTCAAACCTTAACCTGCCAGTAATTTCACTCATTGGCATATTAAGATACTTAAGATCTGTTTCTTTCTTCTGCAGGTGAACCGTTTCCAATGGCGAATAGGATGCATCTGTCATTCTGGGCACTGTTGTGCTTCACCCTGACACTCTTCCTCTCACACACAGGTGTGTTCTCATTTCTACACTTGACTGAACTTTGTAATGTAAACCCATCCGCTGGAGCTCCATCCCGCAGTCCCTCCGCCTTGCCACTTGCCTGTTTCAAGATCCGTCTCAAGACCCTCCTCTTCGACCGTGCCTTCGGTCACCCTCCATTTTTACCCTGCCCGCCATCCTCCCCGATCCTGACTCCGAGTTCGGCTCCGAAACACTGATTGCGTAGCGTCTTGGGACATCCTCCCGACGTGAAAGGCGCTATACAAATGTAATTTTGTTGTTGTTAATGCTATCTACTTGTCTAGTGGACCCTGCTGGAATGTGATGGTATGTTGGTGATGGTTTGTCACCTTTCTATACAACTGTATAACTCTGCTCTCCTGTTGTATAGATTCAGTGGCCGTGATGTCTGTTGACTTGGGTAGTGATTGGCTGAAAATTGCCATTGTGAAGCCAGGAGTACCCATGGAGATTGTATTAAACAAGTATGTACACTAGTGATTCAGTGTGACCTGTGACTGTGTGGCTGTCTATCTGTGTTATGTGTGTGGCGGGAGGGATTTGTAATAATTCCTTATCTTTTGGTTGCTGCAGAGAATCAAGACGGAAAACTCCTGTTGCTGTGTCTCTGAAAGAAAACGAGCGTCTGTTTGGAGACAGTGCGGTTGCAATGGTAACGTTTAATGCATTTTGGATACAGAATTTACCAAACAAAGATTTAATTGAATATATAAAGCTTCAGTTATTTTTTATTTATAACGAGAACAACAACTTGCATTTATAAAGCGCCCTTCATGCTGGACGGTGTCTCGAAGAGCTTATAATTTTCTGATAGGTTGATGGGTGTCATCAGCCCACTCCATGTGGAGTCCTGTAGCTCAGTGGTTAGAGCACTCGCTTTACAAGTGAGACACCTGGGTTCAATTCCAGGCAGAGGGCGAAACCTTGGGCAAGTTTCCTTACTCCACACAGAGCCTAATAATAACCATCCAAAACAAAACAATAATAAATTGGTCATTTTCAATCCATGACTGTTTGTGGGACATTGCTGTGCGCAATTGGCTGCCGCGTATCGCCCACAAATATACGGTCAATTCACTTTACAGTCTATTCTGTGAAGCGCTTTGAGATGTCTAGAAGACGTGAAAAGCGCAATATCAAATGCAAGGATTATTATTATAAGTGTTCACCTGTTTGGCAGGTGCAGACATCAAAGCGTGCAGGTTATATTTCCTACTCCAACTGGATGCCTTGTGAGGGGCAGGGAGCTCTGGGGAGTGGTTAAAAATGAGGGTGATCAAAGGCACGGTTGAAGAGTAGGGTTCTTGAAACACTCCCCAGAGCTTACTTCATCCAGCAGCATATTGGTTAGAGCACTCGCCTTGCAAAGGAGAGGACCTGGGTTTGATTCCTGGTCAGGGCGAAACGTTAGGTAAGTTTTCTCATTGCACACACCTCTGTTCCCATCAGTAAATAGGAACCCATTGTTAGTTAATTGGTGGATTGCTTTTCCGGGGGTAATAATCTCTTCATAAATAATAATAGTAATTTGGTCACTCAATCCATGACTGTTTGTGGAACACTGCTGTGCACAATAGGCTCCCGCGTATCACCCACAAAATACACAGTCACTGCACTTTACAGTATATTCTGTGAAGTGCTTTGAGACATCTCAAAGACGTGATAAGGCACTATATCAAATGCAAGGATTATTATTATATTTAAAAACTTGTTCTCTGCAGTCAGTGAAGAACCCCAAAGTGGTGGTGCGTTACCTGCAGGACCTGTTGGGGAAGCAGCTGGAAAACCCACAGGTGGCGCTTTACAGGAAACACTTCCCTGAGCACGAGCTGATAGCAGACGAGAGACGAGGCACTGTTCTCTTCAAACTCTCAGAGTGAGTATTCCTTGTGCCCGAGCTTTCCCAGACCCTTTTCTGTCACGGTGATGATCACGTACTCAAAATGCTTTGAAACATCCTCCCAATGTGAAAGCTGTTATATCAATGTAAATTGTATGTTCAAAGCAACACTCCATGACGACTTATCAGATCTGCCTTGTGTTGATCTGGCTTATTTGATCTTTATCTCTGCTGTAACAGTATTTAAATGCAGTAATTTGCACCTCATGTTTGTGCAGGTATGAAATGTGCTGGAGTTTTTCACGGGGAAGGCTTGGGGAAAAGGAAGGCAAATCATGTCTAACAAACCTAATAAAGTTTTTTGATGAGGGTAACGGAGAGGGTGGATGAAGGTAGTTTATATGGATTTTCAAAAGGTGTTTGATAAAGTGCCACATAAGGGACTTGTAAGCAAAATAGAAGCCCCCGGCATTAAAGGGACAGTGGCAGCGGATACAGAACTGGATGGGAGACAGAGAGCAGAGAGTGATGGTGAACGGCTGTTTTTCTGACTGGAGGGAAGTGTGCAGTGGTGACCCCCAGGGGGCAGTACTGGGACCACTGCTGTTTTTGATCTATATAAATGACCTGGACTTGGGTATAGGGAGGACAATTCCCAAGTGTGCTGATGATACTAAGCTGGAAAAGTAGTAGACGAGGAGGATAGTATCAGACTGCAAATGGATATAAACAGACTGGTAACATGGGCAGACACGGGGCAGATGAAGTTTAATGTGGAGAAATGCAAAGTGATGCATTTTGGGAGGAAGAATGAGGAGAGGCAATATAAGCTGATGGTACAATCTTATTGTGGGTGAAGGAACAGAGAGACCGGGGGGTCATATAAGTAAATCTTTGAAGAAGTCAAGTAGATAAAGCTGCTTTTTTTTAAAAAAAAGCATACGGGATACTAAGCTTTATGAATAGGGGCATAGAATACAAAAATCAGGAAGTTTATGATAAACCTTTATAAAAGCACTGGTTAGGCCTCAGCTAATTCTGTTCAGTTCTGGGCACTATACTTTAGGAAGGATGTCAAGGCATTGGAACAACAACAAGATTCCATTTATAAAGCGCCTTTCACGTCAGGAGGACGTCACATTGGAAGCGGTGCAATGGAGGTTTACCAGGAATGAGGAACTTCAGTTATCTGGAGAGGCTAGAGAAGTTAGGATTATTTTCCTTGGAGCAGAGAAGACTAAGACGAGACTTAATAGAAGTCTTCAAAATTCTGAGGGGATCCGATAGAGTGAACAAGGAGAAATTATTTCCGCTGGCGGGTGGGTTGGTAACCCGAGGACACCAATTTTAAAATAGTTGTTAAAAGAAACAGAGGGGAGGAGAGGAATTTTTTTTTCACACAACGATTTCTTAGGATCTAGAATGCATTGCCTGAAAGGCTAGTGGAAGCCGATTCAATAACAACTTTTAAGAGAGAAGTACATAATTATTTGGGGAGAACAAGTTTGCAGCGCTATGGGGAGAGAGTGGGGGGTGGGGTTGATCAGGGCTATGGGGAGAGCGGGGGAGGGGGGTTGATCAGGGCTATGGGGAGAGCGGGGGAGTGGGGTTGATCAGGGCTATGGGGAGAGAGCGGGGGAGTGGGGTTGATCAGGGCTATGGGGAGAGAGTGGGGGAGTGGGGTTGATTTGGAAGCTCTTTTCAAAGAGCGGCACAGACACAATGGACTGAATGGCCTCCTTCTGTGCTGTATGATTCTATGATTTACCTTGGGTGGAGGTGAGGGCGGGTTGAATTTGCACTCTGTTCTAACACACTGTACTACTTGGTCCTCTGAAGATTTAACTGTTTGTTTGTTTTTGTTTGTTTGTTTGTAGGGAGCTAAAGTATTCCCCTGAGGAGCTTGTAGGAATGATGCTGAACTACTCCAGATCCCTGGCTCAGGAGTTTGCAGGTTGACTTGAGTTTTTTATTTAAATCATTTTTATCTTTTATTTCTGTTGTCATAAAGCTAGTGTTGGGTTTGATGGTATTTGTCTTTGTGTAGCGTGATGGAGCATAAGGTGCATTGTAAAATTGTGGAGTCCTGTAGCTACAATGACAACAACTTCCATTGACAACAACTTCCATTTATATAACGCCTGTCATGCAATAACAACAACAAGATTGCATTTATAAAGCGCCTTTCACGTCGGGAGGACGTCCCAAGGCGCTGGACAGTTGGGTTGGGACCCGAGCAGGGAGGAAATGGTCAGGGTGAAGGGAGGGAGCGAGGAGGGGGTAGAGAGTTGAGAGGGATTTGAAAACGAATGTCAGGATCTTGAAATCGATTCATTCGGAGATAGGGAGCCAGTGGAGCCTGGCTAGAACTGGTGTGATGGGGATACAGAGTTTAGTACGGGTGAGTATGTGTGCGGATCCTGTGCATCGTGGAGCTAGGGAGACTGGCAAAGAGGGCATTTGAGAAGTCCAGTCGGGAGTTGATGAACGTATGGACGAGTGTTTCGGCTACGTCTAGGGTAAGGTATGGTCAGAGGCGGGCAATGTGGTGGAGGTGGAGGAAGATGTTCCTGGTCAGGGACTGGATGTGGGGAAGGAATGCCAGGTGTGAGTTGAACCTGATGCCGAGGTTGTGCACTGGTGGAGTCCTTTAGCTTAGTGGTTAGACCACTCGCCTTGCACGCGTGAAGATCTGGGTACGATTCCCGGGCAGGGAGAATGGTTGGGCAGATTTCCTTACTCCAAACGCCTCTGTTTTCCTAGCAGTAAGCAGGAACCTAGTTGTTAGTCGATTGGCAGATCGCTTTTCCGAGGGTAATAACCCCTTATAAGCATGTGGTCGTTTCAATTCACAACTCTGCGTGGGATTTAGCTGTATGCAATTGGCTGCTGCGTTTCGCCCACAAAATATACAGTCAATTCAATTTACAGTATATTCTGTGAAGCGCTTTGAGATGTCTCTATATCAAATGCAAGGATTATTATTCAATTTTTTTTGATTCCTACTCAAACTGCCTTTCAGAGCAGCCAATTAAGGACTTGGTGATTACGGTGCCTGTGTATTTTAATCAGGCAGAGAGAAGGGCAGTCTTGCAGGCTGCCCATATTGCTGGCCTCAAGGTCCTTCAACTCATCAATGATAACACAGCAGTGGCCCTGAACTACGGGGTCTTCAGGAGGAAGGATATCAACAGCACGGCCCAGGTACTGAGTCCTGCAGCATTGATCTCCAGCCAGCTTCTGTTTCTTGAGGTTCAGATGAGATTGTTTGTGTCCTGACGATTGTGCCGGTCTCCCCATTGTTGAATGTTTCTCTTGCAGACGGTTATGTTTTATGACATGGGCTCCAGCAGCACCACAGCTACCATCATCATCTATCAGACTGTCAAGACCAAGGACTCGGGGACACAGCCCCAGCTCCACGTTCGGGGAGTTGGGTAAGTTCCTCTCCTCTTGCTCAGAGTCTCTGGGTTTCATTTAAGCTGCTGAGTGGTCTATTAATTCAGTAGTTTTCACTTGCCAGCTGAGAGCTGTCTCGATCTGACTCGAGTCGGGTCCCAGTGAGGAGGGGGCTGGTTTGAAACGCTGCGTGGTTTAATCCTGTCACTGAGGTGACTACCGAGGTCAGAAGGTGGTGCTCTCTCGAAGGCCGGGGCAACTCTATGTAGCTTTTTATTTTAATTTGATGTGTTTTTAAATCAACTATGAAAACTGTGGTGTCACTACTGCTCTGCAGTGGTTATTTTTCCTCCTCACATTTTATATTTTTTGTTCAAACTGAAATTACAATCCCACGCATCGTAATAAGAACATAAGCATTTGTTGGCAAAAGAAGACTAAGGTTCATCTAGCTTAGCTATTCAGGACAATGGTCATTGATTGCGGCCACTGAAGCGCCTTCCTCCGCTTCAAACGCGGTACAAACACCTCCCTCTGCTGCTAACCTGCACACAGTGCACTACGCCTCGGGCTTCTCGCGCGGTTTCCTGTGGGGGAAGTGGACTCTAGTCAAGCATGCATGGCGCGGGGAGTGTTGGGATCGCGGAAGCGGCGAGAATGGGAAATCAACTTCACCCGGGGCCTAACCTGAGCTCCTGCGGACAATTCTTGGTAGTTGCTGTAAACACGCCACCACAGAAGGAGTTGTCCTTACGTGAGAGAGTGGACTTAATCAAAAGCAGTGAGGGCAAAAGTCATAGACCAGAAGCTGTGATCTATGGCACTGGCAGAACACAAGTTGGATGCATTCTCAAAAGGACAGCTTTTGTTTTAAATGAGACAATGCCTTTATTTTAATGAGACTGCAAATTCTGCATTAAGTTAGAGAGGGATATAGTTAAATCCGCGGCAAGTATTCTGAATTTAAATAGGGCTAATTTTGTAGGTATGAGGAAAGATTTAGTTAAATAGACTGGAGAATAAGATTAAGAGGTAAAAATGTAGACCAACAGTGGCAAATATTTAAGGATGTAGTGCAAAATTCTCAGCGGTCGCATATTCCCTTGCGGAATAAGAGTACCACGGAAAGCAATTCATCCGTGGCTAACTAGAGCAGTTAGGGAAAGCATCAAATTAAAAGAAAAGGCTTATAAAACTGCCAAGAAAAGCAGCAAATCTGAAGATTGGGAGAGTTTTAGAAAGCAGCAAAATAAAACTAAAAAACTCATTAAGAGCGAGAAAAAGGAGTATGAGGGTAAGCTCGCTGGGAACATTAAGTCTGATTGTAAAAGTTTTTACAAATATATTAAGAGGAATAGGCTGTGAGGGTAAATGTAGGTCCACTTCAGTCAGAGACGGGAGAAGTTATAATGGGGGACAAGGACATGGCAGAGTCCCTAAATGGGTACTTTGCATCTGTCTTCACCCTAGAAGACACAACAAGTCTGCCAACAATAGGGATGCACCAAAGGGATAAGGACAGGGAGCAACTTAGGAAAATTTTCATTAGTAGAGAATTGTTGCTAGGGAAACTGTTAGCACTAAAAAGTGACAAATCCCCTGGTCCGGATGGTCTGCATCCCAGGGTTTTAAAAGAGGAGCTTATGAGATAGTGGAGGCCTTATGTCTGATCTTCCAAAATTCCTTGGATTCTGGAACAGTCCCCATGGATTGGAAGATCGCAAATGTCACACCATTATTTAAAAAAGGTGGAAAGGAAAAGATGGGAAACTATAGGCCAGTTAGTCTCACATCAGCGATAGGAAAAATTTTAGAATCGTTGATTAAGGATGTGGTAGTGCGGTATTTAGGGCACAATATAATTAGGCCAAGTCAACATGGCTTTACAAAAGGGAAGTCATGTTTGACAAATCTCATAGAGTTTTTTGAGGATATTTCGAGTAAACTAGATAAGGGTGAATCAGTGGATGTGGTCTATTTGGACTTCCAGAAGGCATTCGATAAGGTGCCGCATAAAAGGTTAGTCCAAAAGATAAGGGCCCATGGAATTGGGGGGAGCATATTAACGTGGATTGGGGAATGGTTAACGGGTAGGAAACAAAGAGTAGGGATAAACGGGTCCTTTTCGGATTGGCGGGATGTGACTAGTGGAGTGCCACAAGGATCAGTCCTTGGGCCTCAGCTATTTACCATCTACATCAACGATCTAGATGAGGACATCGAAGTTAATATATCTAAATTCGCGGATGACACAAAACTAGGAGGAAGTGTCAACACAGAGGATGACATTAAAAAAATGCAGCGAGACATAGATAGGTTAGGTGATTGGGCAGGTAGGTGGCAGATGAAGTATAATGTAGGGAAGTGCGAAGTCATCCACCTCGGTAGCAAAAACAGTAGAGCGGGTTATTTTTTAGAAGGGGAGAGATTGGAATGTGTTAGCGTCCAGAGGGACTTGGGTGTCCTTGTACACCAATCACAGAAAGTTAGTCTGCAGGTGCAGCAGCAATTAGGAAGGCGAACGGTATGTTAGCATTCATTATGAAAGGATTAGAGTATAAGAGTAGGGAAGTCTTGCTGCAACTGTATAGGGCCCTGGTGAGACCACACCTGGAATACTGTGTGCAGTTTTGGTCTCCTTATTTAAGGAAGGATGTACTTGCCTTGGAGGGGTGCAGCGTAGATTTACTAGGTTAGTACCAGGGGGGATGAGTTATGAGGATAGGCTGACCAATTTGGGTCTATAATTCTCTAGAATATAGAAGAATTAGAGGGGATCTTATAGAAACCTATAAGATCATCAAAGGGCATGAAAGAGTAGATAGTGGGAGATTGTTTACCCCGGTTGGAGAAACTAAAACCAGGGGTCACAACCTTAAAATCAGAGGCAGCCCTTTCGCACTGAGTTGAGGAAGAACTTCTTCAATCAAAGGGGTGAATGTATGGAACTCACTACCCCAAAGGGCTGTTGACCCTCAGTCCTTGAACATATTCAAGACTGAGATAGAGAGATTTCTTGTTGCAAAAGGAATTAAGGGTTATGGGGATAAGGCAGGGTTATGGTCTTAGCTTAGATTAGAAGATCAGCGGGGCAGGCTTGAAGGGCCGAATGGCCTACTCCTGCTCCTACATGTTATGTATGGTTGTTGAATGTTGATCACCCTTGCCCATTACCAATGCCCTTAACATTACATCAGTGACCTGAATCGCCCGACCTGTTTCAATAATTAGGTCAATTCACTAAGTAAGCCACTTTTGCCCAGTCACTTGAGTGACTGGATTAGTGAGGTTCTACTGTACCGTATCATCAGATATTATTTTCTAGCAGAAATCTTATCTAATTTGTTCTTGAAACAAACAACTTTCTGCTTCTCCCTAGGGAGCCTGTTCCATAAGTTCACTGCTCGATCACTGAAGTAGTGTTTCCGCAGATTTGTTCTGAATTTGTCCCCACTTCGATCGCAGGCTATGTCCTCTGGATCTACTGTTCTACTGTTTAGTACAAGCAATGCACAATGACCCAGTCCCCACAATGAGAGAGGAACTGTTTCTTCCTTAAACTGTCTATTATCCCGAAGCCTCATCTCTGGCGCTGCTCTTTTTGTAGCTTGTTCCTTTTTGAATGAGAAAACTGCTTGATGTTTTCTCTCTTCCCAACCCCCCAGGTATGATCGCACTCTGGGAGGGTTTGAGATGGAGCTTCGCCTGAGGGATCACCTTGCCACACTGTTCAATGGGCAAAAGAAAAGCTCCAAAGATGTCCGTGAGCATCCGCGAGCCATGGGCAAACTTTGGAAGGAAGCCAACCGTGTGAAAACAATACTGAGCGCCAATGTCGATCATGTGGCGCAGGTCAGTGCTTGTTCCCAGTATTTTGCCTACAAAATACACAGTCACTCCACTTTACAGTATATCCTGTGAAGCGCTTTGAGACGTCTCAATGACATGATATGGCGCTTCTCTGGGGTAATAATTCCTTAAAAAAGTGGTCACTCAATCCACGACTGTTTGTGGGACACTGCTGTGTGCAGTCGGCTGCCGTATTTCAACCACAAAACACAGTCACTCCACTTTACTATATATTCTGTGAAGCGCTTTGAGACGTCTCAACGATGTGATGAGGTGCTATATCAAACGCAAGGATTATTATTGAATGTGAGTGTGTGATTGTTGTTGTTCCCCTCCCAGTCACACAAATGGCTATGTTTAGTAGCTGTCTGTATCTCTCTTGACTTTTCCTACTGTTTGATGAACGTTCAGATCGAGGGACTTCTTGACGATATTGACTTCAGGGCGAAGGTAACGAGGGCCGAGTTTGAGGATCTGTGCGGCGATCTGTTTGAGAGGGTCGCGGGCCCGGTTCATCAGGCCCTGAAAGTAGCCGAGATGCACATGGTGAGTATGTCCATCCCCCCACCTCCTCACACAGGCTGTGCTGAGGGCTGGAGCTGAAGTTTCACAAAGTTGCTTCATATTTAAACAGGCTCCATATTTAAATATTTAACATATTTAAAGAGTCTGCTTAAATATCAAGCGTTCCTGGACGCTACCCTGCGTGAAGGGTGCTATATAAATGTATGTTGTTGTTGTTGATGGGTGTCAGTATCAGGGCAGATAATTGATCTGAACCTGATGGAAGTGTTGGCGGGTGCCAGTCAGCGAACAAAAGATTGTTTTTTCTTAATTTGGGGATGGAGGTTTAATAGTTTACTTTAATGAGAACTTGCACTTTAACTGGTTTTATTCAACTGGGAGAAGGGGAATTGGGTGGGGGGGAAGGGGGTAATGGGGAGGGGCGAGAGGAGGAGGGGTGAGAGATGCTCTGAGATGCCACCCGTTGTGGAGGGCGCGATATAAGTGCAAGCTGTTGTTGTTGAGAGGGGGAGGGGCGAGAGGGGGAGGAGGATGATGGGGAGGGACGAGGGGAAGGGGGTGATGGGGAGGGGCAAGAGGGGAAGGGGGGTGATGGGCGCAGGTAGTCATTCAACGACGTCGGTCTTTATTTCAAACACAAAGGGATTGTGATCAGAAAGGGCGCTGAGCATCAGCCTGTTGCTGGATGATGTAATAACTTCTCCGGATTACAGCGGGTAGCTGTGTCCAGCCCCTTCCTGCTTGGCTTTTAAGTCTTTAATATCTGTTTCCTACCCAGGATGAAATAGATCAAGTGATCCTGGTGGGAGGAGCCACACGAGTTCCCAAGGTGCAGGAGATTCTGCTGAAAGTGGTTGGAAAGTAAGAAGTTCACACTCTAGCCGAATGGGGCAGCTTCAGGCTGGAGCTCATTCTATACTCCTCCCCTTCCTGCAGCAAGCTGTACAGGCCTACGAAACCCTTGAAAAGCTTCTGTTTCCTGAGGCGTAATCTAGCCAGTGGTCCTTAGATACCTTAGACCAGAGTAGGCCAACCTTTCGGCTGCTGAGGGCCGGATGCCCTATTCGAAAAATGTCCGCAGGCCACATAAGCAATATTTTTGTGTTTTCCTTCCAGAGACATAACACTTACGGATTAAAGAGGGAGCGGGTGGGAGGGGGCACGGGAGGAAATTGGCCCGCAGGCCGCCTGTTGGACCACCTGCCTGTGACCATGGGATTCTTGGTCACACAGCAACACGAGAAGGCCGCCCAGCTTGGGAAGCTTCTTCTCACATTGTATTAGCTTCTGGCAGGTCTCAGTCCTGCTCCCCTCCCAGTCTTTTTTTTACACACCCTTTTAATAAGAGGAAGGCAGAGCCAGCAAAACTGGGATGGGGCTGAAAGTTTGATTTAATTTTCAGTGAGTCGGTAACTCAGCATATTTACACAATAATAACGGTAACTGTGTGGTTAGCAATAACAAGCACCAGTCAGTTCAAAGCAATTGTCCTGTTCGGGCTTTGGCTCACAGGGTTTAGTAAGATGATGCTCAGTGTAGTGTGTAGTTTATTTTCTGTGAGAGAGAATTGCATAAGAGTTCTGTTGCAACCAAGGACAGACTGAATATGATATAGACTATGGCTTAGTGTGCGATGGCTGTTTGTTTATCTGCCGTGTGTTTGTGCTCGCTCTCAGGGAGGAGTTGGGAAAGAACATAAACGCCGATGAAGCAGCCGCGATGGGTGCTGTGTACCAGGCTGCTGCACTCAGCAAAGCCTTTAAAGTGAAACCCTTCCTCATCCGGGATGCAGCCCTGTATCCTATTCAGGTAATTCACTACCATCACTGACAAGACTGGGGTAACCGTGTGTGTGGGGGGGGTGCGGGGGAAGCTAAGGCAGGAATTCTACCTGGATCTCGATTCACTTTACTTGCTTAGGGTTTTAGTGTCCTGTATTTGACACTCCTAAATTTTACGGCCTTGATTGTGAAGCCGGTTTTCTGTAAGATCTTTGAGGTAGGTTTTGTATAGTTCTTGTACAGTTGTGGAGTACTATAACTTAGTGGTTAGAGCACTCACAAGTGAGAGGACCTGGGTTTGATTCCCGGGCGGAGCGAAACATTCAGCAAGATTCCTTACTCCACACGCTTCTGTTTACCTAGCAGCAAGTAGAAACCTGGTTGTTAGTCAATTGGCGGATCGCTTTTCCAGGAGTAATAATCCCTTCCAACAAAAAAATAACAATTTGGTCACTCTATCCACAACTGTTTGTGGGACACTGCTGTGTGCAATTGGCTGCTATTTTTCGCCCACAAAATATACAGTCAATTCACTTTACAGCGTATCCTGTGAAGCGCTTTGAGACATCTTGATAATGCACTATATCAAATACAAGTATTATTAAAGAAACAGAAATTAATGTTTTGCCTAGACACTTTGAGATGTTAAGAGTAAATCTAGACGCAGGTGGAATTTCTCCTCGCGTGTCTGATGCTGTTAAGTTATACGCCCAGGTGTGGCTGGCATTAACCTGCCAGTCTATTGTTCCTTGCCATCATTTAGTTGGTTATTTCTCAGTCGCCTACAACTAGTCAAGTACACTACCCTGTATGAGGGGCACTATATAAATGCAAATTGTTGTTGCTGCAGGTTGAATTCATGCGAGACATTGAGGAAGAGGAAGGTGTGAAGAGCATTAAACACAACAAGCGCGTGCTCTTCCAGAGAATGTCCCCGTATCCCCAGCGTAAAGTCATTACGTTCAACCGCTACATTGATGACTTTGAGTTCTTTGTGAACTATGGAGAAATGAACTTCCTTGATGATCACAACCTCGGGTAAGGAATCCTTTTTGCAGAATTTCCCAACCAATATAGAGTGGGTTCCAGTGAGTCGCAAGCAGGAGTTTGTGACTGTGCTGACAGGCCGTGCCTTGAGTCCATCGCACATTGTGCTCAGTCATTGTGTTTAGAATTTGAATTCATGCGAGACATTGAGGAAGAGGAAGGTGTGAAGAGCATTAAACACAAGCGTCCTGAGAGAATCGTGTGATCGAGTGTCACATTGGTGGTGGCTAACTACCTTGTATTGGCGATACTTAAGGCCTAAACGCTGCATTGTTTTAAACACTGAGCCTTGCATTTCCAAGATTGATCACTTAATTTCTTTCTCCTTCCGCCTTCCAGAATCTTTGGATCATTGAACCTGACCACAGTCCGACTGAATGGAGTTGGATCAAGCTTCAAGAAACACACAGATGCTGAATCTAAAGGCATCAAAGCCCACTTTAACATGGATGAAAGTGGCATTCTCACATTGGACAGAGTGAGTGAGACTGTGGCTCTTTCCCCCCATAGGCTGATGGCTGCTGCATTGGCCTAACTTTCCCTTCAGACAGGGCTTACTGCACCTCTTCCCCCCCCAACCCCCCCCGTCCTGATTCTGTCAGCTCATGCGGTGCACTTTGTCCTTGGCTTTAATTAATGGACTGTTGCACTCCTGGGTACATTACTGTAAGAGGCTGATCACATCATATAGTAATAATCCTTACATATGATATGGACCCTTATCAAGTCATTGAGGTGTCTCAAAGCGTTTCGCGGAACATACTGTAAAGTGAGTTGACTATATTTTGTGCGCGAAATGTGGCAGGCAGTTGCGCACAGCAGTGTCCCACAAACGGTCGTGGATTGAGTAACCACATTTTTTTTGTTTTTTTGGAATGGAGATTACCCCCAGAAAAGCTAATTGGCAGGTTCCAATTTACTGCTAGGTCTATGTGGTTGTTGTCATGCTGGGCTGGTGGCTGGGTGATTGATGGCTCAACATTCATGAAGTCACTTCACTGGAGCTTTGTTGTATACAGAGTGTGCATCTTTTTCAGATGTTTTAAGTTATTTTTAAGAAAATGATTTAATCCCATGACCCAAGGATGGGAAGTGTTCTCCTGTCTCTGGGTCAGAACCTTGGGACATCCTCCTGATGTGAAAGACACTATACAAACGTAATTTATTGTTGTTAACTTGTATCTCTGGTGCAGGTGGAGTCTGTGTTTGAGAAGTTGCAAGATGGTGAACCCGAGGAGGAGTCCACATTGACCAGTGAGTTATTGGTATCAAAGTGAACTATATATGTGTGAATAAAACCCAGCCTTCACCCCACAATCTGACTACTGAGACGATAATGCCACTCTGAGCTAAGACAGCAGCAGTGAAGGGCAAAGCGACAGAGCAGTCAAGATGATCGAGGCTTTGGATGCTTTCTTTCCTTCCCCTCTCCCTTTACAGTAAGGGAACACTAGTATGTAACTTACTGTGATATTGTGTGGTGCTGGGATGCTATCCAGCCTGTGACTACACAGGCCGATAGTCATTCCCCTGTGGTTGAGGATTAACATCAACTAGACTTGTTTAGCAAGCTGTCATTCCTGTTCTGTTCCTAGTTGTGGATTAACCTTTACTTTCATCGTAACCTGGAACCAGACCAGGTAATTTGGTTACATTCCATGTTTCAGCTACTTCATATTTCTACAACTGACTTTGTTTAATCAGGTTGGGATGTGAAGTAATTGTACTTTTGCCACAGACTACAATAAATTCTCTTGTCCCATGCTCTAAGCCCAATAGAATCATATAGCACAAAAAGAGGCCATTCGGCCCATCGAGTCTGTGCCGGCTCTTTGAATAGAGCAATGTAATGTCAATCCCACTCCCCAGCCCTTTCCCCATAGCCCTGCAAACCCGTCCTCCTCAAATACCAGTCCACTGCATTTTTAAAAGCTGTTATCGAATCGGCCTCGACCGCCCTTTCAGGCAATGCGTTCCAGATTCGAACAACTCGCTGCGTGAAAACATTTCTTCTCACCTCCCCTCGGCTTCTTTTAGAGACTATTTTAAATCTGTGACCTCAAGTCACCGACACACCCACCAGCGGGAACAGTTTCCTATCAAATCCCCTCATGATTACCTTTATTAAGTCTCCTCGTAACCTTCTCTGCTCCAATGAGAATAATCCCAGCAATAAGATCCAATAAGATTTGATCTCTCCCACAGAACTTGGCAACACCATCTCTAGTTTATTTGGAGGTGGCAGCTCCGAGCCAGATGCCAAGGAGAACCTAACGGAATCCGTGCATGTAAGTGCGCACTCTGTCAACTGTGTGTTAGGCCTCAGTGTAATTCGGAACATTAACTGACTGACAGTACCAAGATGCTAAATTTTGTTTTTATTGTGTTGGTTAATGTTGTGCTGGAGCAAGGTATTGTGGAGGGAAGGGGCCCTCATTCTGGTGTAAGCTGCGTGGAGTGGAGGGGCTGGTGTGAGAGATGTCTTTGTGTAACTCTTACATAGAGGGGAGTTGCTGCTGACTTGTTGGTAGGTCTTGCTAATCCACAGGATTGTTTGGTTCCAAATCACATTCAGCTGTGAGATGTGAAATCTCTCCTGAGTGAGAGCGGTGTTGGCATAGAACTTTTGCATCTCTAATGATCATGTTTACTCTCTCGTTCTCTCCCTCTTTCCCCCCACCCAAACACACACACACAGGATGAAGACGAGGTGCCAAGTGAAAGTGGCAGGAGTGAGCAGGAAGAGCAGCCCACACAGCCAAAGGACGACCCTGCTCCCAGTTCAGAGGAGGAGGCTCAGAGTGAGGGAGAGAAGCTGGAGCCTGCGGCTGAGGGGGAGAACCCGGATCAGGCCTCGGAAGGAGAGAAACCCCAACCGGTTGATCCAGATCAGGCCTCGCAGGAAACCCCAGACACGCAGGTTAGCAATCTCTCCGTCTGTGAGACTCCAAAATGGCAGCTGTTGGCTGTATGATGAGCTGAACCAATAGAAAAGTGCGGAAATATTTGCCCTAAATGCTGGGGTGTTTGACAAATTCCCCGGAATATTGCGGAGGGTTGATTGGTGCTATTGCGAGACACATTTTGTTAAAACTGGGTATATATTTCCTGAACATGTAGTTATGTTAGTTTCAAAATTGTTAATTTGAATAGTACAGTAGCTCAGTTTAGGTCGGGGGCAAAGCTGATTTCCTCTTGTACTGCTTCCCATGTATGACTGGAGCCGCTCCACCCACAGTAGCCCGGGGCTTAAGCTCGCCGTGTACAGGTGTGTAGCGGGGCTTAAGCTCGCCGTGTACAGGTGTGTAGCGGGGCTTAAGCTCGCTGTGTACAGGTGTGCAGCGGTAAGCTCGCCGTGTGCACAGGTGTGTAGCGGGGCTTAAGCTCGCTGTGTACAGGTGTGCAGCGGTAAGCTCGCCGTGTGCACAGGTGTGTAGCGGGGCCTAAGCACGCAGTGTGTACAGGTGTGTAGCGGGGCCTAAGCACGCCGTGTGCACAGGTGTGTAGCGGGGCCTAAGCACGCAGTGTGTACAGGTGTGTAGCGGGGCCTAAGCACGCCGTGTGCACAGGTGTATAGCGGGGCCCAAGCACGCCGTGTGCACAGGTGTGTAGCGGGGCCTAAGCACGCCGTGTGCACAGGTGTATAGCGGGGCCCAAGCACGCCGTGTGCACAGGTGTGTAGCGGGGCCTAAGCACGCAGTGTGCACAGGTGTGTAGCGGGGCCCAAGCACGCCGTGTGCACAGGTGTGTAGCGGGGCCCAAGCACGCCGTGTGCACAGGTGTGTAGCGGGGCGGGTGTTTGTCATGGAGGTGGTTGCTTGTAGCGGGCTCCGTGGAAAAAGTACGGCCCAGGTGATGAATGAGGCTGGAGTGAATTCTGATTCCCAGGGAACTAACAAAGGAAGCTTGAACATATTCGAGGATCCATTGGTAGTTTTTCCTTTTCTGGGCTTTGTTTAAACAATAGCTTTAATTTATACAGCTAACCTCATGCAGGGTAATGTCTCCGAGCGCTTGACAGTGGCGGAGCATGATGCTGAGCCCGGGGAGGTGACCGTAGGCACAGTCGAAGAGGAAGGTTTTCAGGCGCAATCTGAAGATGGGGAAGGAGGGGGCAAGGCGGAGGAATAGAGATTTAAAGTTTTTTTTGTTCAGAACATTAATTTCTTGTAAAAAATAATAATAATCTGATCAGTTCAATCCGCGACTGTTTGTGGGACGCTGCTGTGCGCAATTGGCTGCCGCTTTTCACCCACAAAATACACGATCAATTCACTTTACAGTATATTCTACGAAGCGCTTTGAGACGTCTTGAAAATGTGATAAGGCGCTGTATCAAATGCAAGGATTATTATTCTCCAGAAGCCAATTTACACACACATTTGCAAATACACAGCCCGGCATATGTCAGAGAGTTAAATGTTACTAAACACGGCCACATTAGGTTTATTCTGTTTGTGTTTTTGGTGGTTGGTGCAGGATNAAAAAGCCGAGGAAGCTGGAAAGGAAGAGGTGAAAGGTCAGGAATCTAATAAAACCGAGAACATTAAGAAGCCAAAGGGCCCAAAGCGGGTAAAGATCACAGAGGATGTTACTGTGGAACTCAGAATCCAGGATCTGCCCAATCCATCCGAGGAGGAAATCAACCAGTCCAAAAAAAAGTATGTTTCCTTTGATAACTGCTGCCTTCTCAATGCCTAAGAGGCTGCTCGGTGCACAGTCTTCGTATTTACCCACAGAATACACAGTCAATTCACTTTACAGTGTGAAGCGCTTTGAGATGTCTCAATGACGTGATAAGGCGCTATATCAAGTGGAGTCCTGTAGCTCAGTGGTTAGAGCACTCGCTTTGCAAGCGAGAGACCTGAGTTCAATTCCAGGCAGAGGGCGAAACCTTGGGCAAGTTTCCTTACTCCACACAGAGCCTAATAATAATCCCTCCAAAACCGAAAACAATAATAAATTGGTCATTTTCAATCTACGACTGTTTGTGGGACATTGCTGTGCGCAATTGGCTGCTGCGTTCGCCCACAAATATACAGTCAATTCACTTTACAGTGTGTTCTGTGAAGGGCTTTGGGACGTCCTCCCGACGTGAAAAGCGCTATATCAAATGCAAGGATTATTATTATTATTATTATCAAATGCAAGGACTATTATTGTTTGTAACGAGCCGAGGCCTTTGTGCATGTGCCTAGGATTGTGTAATACATCTTCTCACTCTGTACCCTTGTATCATCCAGGCTACAGGACCTGAGTGACCGGGACTTCGAGAAGCAGGAGCGCGAAAAGGTGGCCAACACTCTAGAGGCTTTCATCTTCGAGACTCAGGTCTGGTTAAATCCTATATCCCCATTGCTTGCTCATCACGAGATGGTTATTGTACCTGCAGCTCTTATAGCAGAGGAGATGGGCCTGAATTGGAGTCCTGTAGTGTGGTGGTTAGTGTGCTCGCCTCGCAAGCTAGAGGACCCAGTTTCAATTCCTGTGCAGGGCAAAACCTTAGGCAAGTTTCCTTACTCCAGACGTTTCTGTTTATTCTGCAGTAAGTAGGAACCTGGTTGTTAGTCAATTGGCGGATCGCTTTTCCAGGGATAATAACTCACTCAATCCATGACTGTTTGTGGGACGCTGCTGTGCCCAATTGGCTGCTGTGTTTTACCCACAAATTATGCAGTCAATTCACTTTACAGTATACTCTTAAGCGCTATGAGATGTCTCAAAAACATGATAAGGTTCTATATCAGATGCACGATGATTATTAACTGGAGGCCAGTGTTTGTGGTTTATTGGATTTGTGGAGGCTGCTTCCTCTATCAGCCCTCGTATTCCCTGGTTGTTCCCAGGCATGTTCAATCCTTGTCCTGGGGGTGTTCTCAGTGACCTTCTACTCAGAGACAAAGACAGAGGGAGTGAGAGAGCCAGAGTAAGACTGCAGTGTTAACCTAGCCATGCTGTAGGGTTTTGTGTGGAGACCACAGTCTAAGCCACCGGTCTCCAGCCTGTCAATTGTCACTAGGTTTCCTCTCGCAGTGTGCTCAACGAAGACCAGAGGAAGGAGCGATATTTACCGCAGTTTAAAATAATAAAGTTTATATTTTTATTTTGAGATGCATGAAATACTTTGTGCAATTGGCTCCATTTTCGATTGGACTAAATAAGTATACAGTTCTAATTCTAATCACCCTTTCTTCTTGCCGTTTTCTCATGCGCAAGAGTGCCTCTTAGCGGCAATCGACCAGTTGGATAGCCCTGGTCTAAGGTATTTGCGGAGTTTATTCAAAGTTGCTTGTTAAACATCACTGTCTTCCTCCTATCTCTTCCCCCACCCCAAAAAACACAGGACAAGTTGCACCAGGATGAATATCAGGCTGTTTCAGCACAAGACGGTCGAGACCAGATCTCTGCCAAACTGTCCGAGGTGTCCACCTGGCTGGAGGAAGAGGGTTACACAGCAAACATAAAGGTTTGAGACAGCCGCAGCCTGTCACCGCTGTTCAGTAATGTTTAACGACAGCCCAGTGTGAATTACTGACTCAGAAATGTTATAGCACAAACACACCTTTTCCCATTACCCTCTCTAGGTAATTACAACCAAGTACAGTGACTGTTTTTGTGGGCTTGTAGAGTAATCGGTACTTGGGATTAGACTACAGGTAAATTACATGTAAATAACTAACAGGGAGTGAATATTTATAGAACATTTTGGTTCTGCTCTTCCTAATTTCCAATTGTGTCTTGCTGCTTAGGGATGACTGCGATTGTGACTGTGTTACATGTTTTAGAGTTAGCTGAGATATGATAGTAACATGTTAGATTGGCTGCTTTGTACATTGTGGAGTCCTGTAGTGGTTAGAGCACTCGCCTTGTAAGCGAGACACCTGGGTTCCGTTCCAGCCAGGGTGAAACTTTGGGCAAGTTTCCTTACTCCACACAGAGCCTAATAATACCTCCAAAACAAAACAATAATAAATTGGTCATTTTCAATCCATAACTGTTTGTGGGACACTGCTGTGCGCAATTGGCTGCCGCGTTTCACCCACAAATATACAGTCAATTCACTTTACAGCATATTCTGTGAAACGCTTTGAGATGTCTTGAAGATGTGAAAAGCGCTGTATCAAATGCAGGATTATTATTATTGCTGGTATTTCCCTGTGTACTGGGCCTATAATTACGTAGTATCTGATTCCCCATGTATCTGCGTGGGTGTGATTAGGAGCTGAAAGCTAAGCTATTGGAGCTGCGGAAGCTGTGTAAAGATCTCTTCTTCAAAGTAGACGAGCGCAGGAAATGGCCGGATCGGCTGGCAGCCCTGGACAGCATGCTCAATCACTCATCCATCTTCCTGAGGTAAGCAGCACCTGGGTGTGTGAGGGCCGTCCTCCTGGCTGGAGGCAGTGGCGTAACGGGTGCCACAAGCCTCGCTTGACCACCAGCTCTGTTAATCTCCATCTCCTGTACTGTGCATCATCGTACTGATAAAGCGTCACACTCCTGGGACATCCTGCTGACGTGAAAGACGCTTTACAAATCTAATTCATTGATGCTCTTCACTGGTTTCATTGCCTTCAAACACAGCTGCTCTACTTTACATAATTCCTCCTAAGTTCTTTGGGACGTTGTCCTGAAGCCTGTGTTCGAATTCAACAATTTATGATTTTACTTTCTTGTTTGTGAATTCAGGGGAGCGCGGATGATCCCGGGGGATGATCAGATTTTCACTGAAGTGGAGTTAAACATGCTGGAAAATGTCATTAATGAGACCATTGTGAGTATGGCCTGCTCCAGTTTCAGTCTGTGCCTGTGGCAGTTTGTGGGGTGAAAAGAGCGATGTGTGTTGGAATTTCCAGCCTTTTTGTGTAGTTTAAACCAGTCCCACAACAGCTGTGTGGGCAGGAGTTACTGCCACTGCTTCCTAACAGTCACTTACTTATTGTTTAATGTGCTTTGCCAAACGGGACTGATAAGGAAGAGAATGTTGAGATAGTCGTGTGTTACCTGTTCTCAGCTGAGTTCAACAAGTGAGCTTCCCATTTACTTGGGGACATAAATGTTTGTGGAGGCCTGGAGTGAGTGGTTAGAGCAGTCGCCTCGTGAGAGGGAGAAGCTGGGTTTGTTCTCTGTTTACCAGTACCAGTAAGTAGGAACTCGGTTGTATGCCAATTGGCGGATCGCTTTTCCGGGGGTAATAATCGCTCAAAAAAAAATAGGTTAATCAATCCACAACTGTTTGTGGGACACTGCTGTGCGCAATTGGCTGCTGCATTTCGCCCACAAAATATACAGTCAATTCATTTTACAATGTATTCTGTGAAGCGCTTTGAGACGTCTCAACGTGATCAGGCGCTATATCAAATGTAAGGATTATTATAATGTTAGCCTCTGCTGGGGAGCACCACATTTTGACTGGTTGTGGTGGGGGAAGAGAGGAGAGCAGTCAGGGTACTTAACGTATGAGGTTCATTACGTTCTAGGTGTGGAAGAATACCACTATAGCGGAACAGAATAAGCTGTCACCCACGGTGAAACCCATCCTCCTCTCCAAAGACATCGAAGCTAAGCTGTCTGTCCTGGACCGAGAAGTCAAGTACTTGCTCAACAAAGCCAAGTTTGCCAAACCCAAACCAAAGAAGGAGAAAGTGCCGAAAAACACAACCCAGGCAGACAAGAGCACGGCGAATGCCAATCAGGAAAAAGTTATACCCCCTCCCCAGGAAAAGCCAGACAAGGAGATTGTCACTGAGGCAGGAGACACTGGTGAGAACATGGCATTGGAAGGCCGCAGGCGGGTGGGGAGGGATTACTAAATTATTCCAATTCTGAATTAAATAGTAATCCTTGCATTTGATATAGCACCTTATCATGTTTTAGAGATGTCTCAAATCACTTCACAGGATATACTGTAAAGTGTAGTGACTTTTTCAAATTGAATGTCAAGAATGAGGCTCTCCTGATTAGCTCCTGTCAGTGCCTCTACACCTCAGGCACTGGCAGCATCACCATCCATGGTTGCGCACTCCACTGAGCCAGTCCAGAACCTGGGGGTCTTGTTTGACCCTCAACTGTCCTTTCTACCCCACATCTGCGCCATGACCCGCTCTGCCTTCCCCACCGCCACAACATTGCCCGGCTCCGCCACTACCTCACCCCTCAGGCCGCCGAAACCCTCATCCACGCATTCTTCACATCTAGGTACAACTATGCAAACTCCCTGCTTGTCAACCTTTCCAAGTCTTCCATCCACAAGCTGCAGATCATCCAGAACTATGTAGCTCGTGTCCTCTCCCGCACCAGGCTCTGTGACCCTATTGCCTCATTCTCACCAGCTCCACTGGCTGGGGGGGTGGAAATTGCAACAAAACAGGCAGACCAGAGAGAGAAAAGGTGTGTTGGGGACCCAGATGCTGTGGTAATGGTCACAGAAGAGGGGGAAGGTGAGCTGTTATGGTCTGAAATTGTTGAAATCAATATGGAGACCAGAGGGCTGTAAAGTCCCAAAACAAAGGGGATGGGGGGGGTAGGGATTGCAACAAAAATATCTCATTTATGTTAAATGAGGTATTTTGTTGCAATTTCCCCCCCCCCCCACCCCGCATCATTAACACCGCTTTAACCCATCATCCCCTGTCCTCTACCCCATCTTCTCCTTTGTCTTCCTTGCCCTGCCTTCCCCGTCTCTGTTAGCCCATAAAAGCCTCTCCCTCCCAACATGCCCCAGTTCTGACGACAGGTCGTGGACCTGAAACGTTGGTTCACTTTCCTTTCTCCATAGATGCTGCCTGACTTGCTGTGTGTTCCCAGCCACTTCTGTTTTTGTTTATTATTTTCTTTAAATACTTTCAGTCAAGTTGTGGGATGGAATGTCAAAGTTGTTGCTCAAGAATGAGCTCAATCCTGGTGGTGATAGTTGCTGTAGGGAGGTTTTTTTTTACTCCTTTCTCTCCCTGGACTGAGGGGTTGTGAGTGTACAATGCAAGCCTGAGTCACTGTTCCTTCCTACAGAGCCAAAGGATGATGTGAAACCGGCAGAGGCTCCGCCTGCAGAGAGTGAGGCTGAGAAGAGCAGCGACGAGCATGTGAAGCTCCCGGAGCCCCTGGAGTTAGAGTCCAGTGAAGGTTAGACACGGCCGGGTTGGGCAGAGAAGCTGACAGTTTTCTGTTCAGGAGCGGGGATGGGGGGGAGGGGTGGGGGGAGACAATCGGATAATAATAATCGTATTCCTTGCATTTGTTATAGCGCCTTATCACATCTTAGAGATGTTTCAAAGCGCTTCACAGAATATAAGTGCAGTGACTGTATAGTTTGTGGGCGAAACGCAGCAGACAATTGTGCACAGAAGTGACCCATAAACAGTCGTGGATTGACTGACCACATTATTATTATTTATTTAAAATGCCAAATGAAATGGGTTTACAATAGTCAGTGATTGTGGTGGAATCTCTTGTCTCCAAGTTTCTGGATAGACTAAACTCTGGTGAAGGTAACGCCCTCGTGGCCTGGTTGTGTCCACCATGTGAAGTGAAGGAGATCTAAATAAACTCTTGTTACTTTTCAGGTACGTCGGAGAAGAAACTAGAAGGCGTCCCAGACAAACACCCACCGGATGAGCTGTGAAGCTCTTGTTTGTGTTTTGCCGACTATTTATATAACATTACTTTTTTTGTAATGGAAAACTTTGCTATAATTTAAAAGAATGATGAGATGTGATGTGGAGCAGACGTGTACATTTCTTTTTATTTTTAACCCACCCTGGATCTCCCCCATTCCCCCCGTGATGGAGGGCGGAGGGTACCAATGTGTTTTGAGTGTTTGGTTGAATGCTCTGGTTCAGACACAGAACAGGCTGTTTAATGTTCACACTTTTTTAAGGCAATTTCACAAAAATTATGTTCCCACTGGTCATTTAAACCCAGCTGTTTGTTTTATTCCTGTTCTTTCATTTTCCCCAGATTCTGATTTGCTTTTTTTTAAAAAGAAGTATCAAAAAGTGGTTTTGAATGAAGCCTTTGTTGCACTGAATAATAAATAGTTTGGGGATTGTATGGTTTATGGGCTGGGGTGGTCTAGGTGGAGGCAGGGTTCCTGAATTGAATGTTACCAGCCCATTCTCTGGCTGGGGAAATAATTTATAAAATCTTTGATAAAAATATCTGGATGCTTTCTGACCTGTAAGGGTCAGGTGGGGGGGGGGAAGGGTCAGTACTGGAGATAGGGAGAAAGGGGAGGTTATCGGCCTGCTTCATGGGTGAAACAAACCTCCCCCCTCAATCTTGATAGATTGGCCATAATCGAGGTGGAGAGGAAAGAGTAACTATTCCGTCTCAGATTTCCTTGGTCATGTGCATTACTCCCTGAAGGTTGTTTTGTTGTTTGAGTTATATATATATATATATATATATATATATATTATAATATATAAAATTATGATATATATGTATATACACTATATATACATATGTGATTAGAACGTATGTGTATACACACGTATATGATTGGATGGAAGTTGCAGCCATTTGTTTGAAGCCTAATATTGGAGTCACAGAGTTGTGCTGTGTAATGTAAAGATTCTGCTTCCCTTCAGTGTATCTTTCTCTCCTCGTCTCTTCCTTTCCCTTCTCCCCAACCCACCCAATCGCAGCTTCAGGTCCCTGTGGTACAATCCCACACACCAGCCTGCCGTCCAGCTCCTTTCTTTGTAATAAATAACAATTTCGCTGAAAAGGGAACAAAACCACTCCTAGGATCTGCATCAGTACAACACACAGGACATGGTGAGCTGGAGTCAGCTCGGTGTTTGTTTGGGTTGATCAAATAGCTTGTGCTTCCATGTTGTATACCATCATGACATGACCTCATTGCCTCCCCTGAAACAAATAAATTTGGTCACTCAATCCACGACTGTTTAGGGCTGTTGTTGTGCGCAATTGGCTGCTGCGTTTTGTCTACAAAATATACAGTCAATTCTGTGAAGCGCTTTGAGACGTCTCAAAGACGTGTTAAGGCGCTATATCAAATGCAAGGATTATTATAATTACTGGCTTGCAATTACACTGGAATGTGTGCTATTCTGGAGCATAGATCCTCAAATTTGCTTAGCCTGTTTGTCCCTCCATCCTAAACCGGTTTTAACATTGAAGGCACTTCCATGCGGTTTATTATGTGGAGAGGAAGCTTCTGTTTTGTCAGTGAGCAACAGCCCCCTGGGGGATATGTATTGTTAACTAGCCCAAGAAGTATGCACACTGTACTCTGTACAGGACAATGTAAAGGAGGATGGAGCTGCAGGATTGTGCTTCTACCTTCAGTTGGGAAGTAGTTCTTTTCACTTATTTTTTAAGTTTAATTAATACAAATGGTTGGAAAAAAATACAAAAGGGCCGAGAGGCAGCTACTCCGCAGTGCCTGGGGAGTGACCGACTGGAGCCCATTCGAGAACTCCTGAGAATCCTATTGTAATAATAATAATTTGGTCACTTCAATCCATGATTGTTTGGGACGCTGCTGTGCGCAATTGGCTGCCGCATTTCACCCACAAACTATACAGTCAGTTCACTTTACAGTATATTCTGTGAAGTGCTTTGAGACATCTCGAAGACTTGATAAGGTGTTTTGTCAAATGTAAGGATTATTATAGTTGGATTCTATGATGATTCTGTCTCGTAACCTGATTCGTGCTGTTATTGATTTGGTGTCTTGTTCTGCAGCTCCCTGAAAGGTGAGGGATCAAGACTGGTTTCAGGGGGTTTCAATTGAGTCACAAGCTTATTTTCTCCCCCAACCTCCCCCACTCTAAGTATTTACTGATGTGGATTGAGAACCAGGCGCCCAATCTGCAGAGATATGCCTACTGGTGACTGATTCCCATCACATTGTGTTGTGTCAATTATTCCTGTTTTTTCAGTATTTTCCGGGACTATTATTGGAGGTTTTCAAATGTAATTGCAAAGAGAATTAAAAAAAATCCCTTCTGATAAGCATGTCCTCAGTGTTGGCTGGACAGTCCACTCTCTGATGTTAATGATGCTGCAAGAGCACGAGTGTGGAGTCGGCATATGTTACAGCAAAATATTTGCTTTGCTGCGCAAACCCCAGTGGGGTTCCCAGCATGAATTGTGTGGATGCTCAGGTCAGGTGAACTTCATAGCCCATGTTGCCATCCTACCTCCGACATAGTGTCTATTGCTGTGTTTAGCCAGGTCTTTTTCTCCCTGCCAAACATTGTGCAGGTTTAATGTGCATGCCAACATCTAACCACTGTCACTGCTCTGAGATGTGCAATTGCAGATGAGCATTGGTGGATGCTTGTGGAGTCCTGTAGCTCAGTGATTAAGAGCACTCACCGCAAAAGTGAGAGGACCTGGGTTTGATTCCTGGACAGGGCGAAATGTTAGGCAAGATTCCTTACTCCACACACCTGTTTACCTAGCAGTAAGTAAGAACCCGGTTGTTAGTTGAGTGGTGGATTGCTTTTCCAGGGGTAATCATTACTTTAAAATATAATTTGATCACTCAATCCACAACTGCTTACGGGATACTGCTGTGTGCAATTGGCCAAACTGTTTTGCCCAAACTACAGTCAATTCACTTTGCAGTATATTCTGTGAAGAGCTTTGAAATGTCTAGAAGACATGATAAGGTGGTGTATCAAATGCAACGATTATTATTATCTCGTTCATACACATGTGTTTCTACAACCTGATTGCGCAAGATGGTTGAAGCTCATTGTGATTTGATCATCGATGGCGGAGAAGGCTGGGAATTGAACTGATCAATCAGGAAACCAAACATTTCCTGATGGTTTGAAGAATTTGTTGAGTTTTTAACACATGATGTTTGGGAGTGCGACAATAATCAGTTTACTTTCCCTCGGGGGCAGTGTCAGTGCTCAACAATTGCAACAATTTGCATTTATATTGTAAAGCGCCCTTCCTGTGGGTCAGGTGTGGGGTGAGGGTTGGGGTCAGGTGTGGGGTGAGGGTTGGGGTCAGGTGTGGGGTGAGGGTTGGGGTCAGGTGAGGGGTGAGGGTTGGGGTCAGGTGTGGGGTGAGGGTTGGGGTCAGGTGTGGGGTGAGGGTTGGGGTCAGGTGTGGGGTGAGGGTTGGGGTCAGGTGAGGGGTGAGGGTTGGGGTCAGGTGTGGGGTGAGGGTTGGGGTCAGGTGTGGGGTGAGGGTTGGGGTCAGGTGAGGGGTGAGGGTTGGGGTCAGGTGAGGGGTGAGGGTTGGGGTCAGGTGTGGGGTGAGGGTTGGGGTCAGGTGAGGGGTGAGGGTTGGGGTCAGGTGTGGGGTGAGGGTTGGGGTCAGGTGTGGGGTGAGGGTTGGGGTCAGGTGTGGGGTGAGGGTTGGGGTCAGGTGTGGGGTGAGGGTTGGGGTCAGGTGTGGGGTGAGGGTTGGGGTCAGGTGTGGGGTGAGGGTTGGGGTCAGGTGTGGGGTGAGGGTTGGGGTCAGGTGAGGGGTGAGGGTTGGGGTCAGGTGTGGGGTGAGGGTTGGGGTCAGGTGTGGGGTGAGGGTTGGGGTCAGGTGAGGGGTGAGGGTTGGGGTCAGGTGAGGGGTGAGGGTTGGGGTCAGGTGTGGGGTGAGGGTTGGGGTCAGGTGAGGGGTGAGGGTTGGGGTCAGGTGTGGGGTGAGGGTTGGGGTCAGGTGTGGGGTGAGGGTTGGGGTCAGGTGTGGGGTGAGGGTTGGGGTCAGGTGTGGGGTGAGGGTTGGGGTCAGGTGTGGGGTGAGGGTTGGGGTCAGGTGTGGGGTGAGGGCCCTTTAAGAATGGTCACGTGAGGCGGACGGTCATGTGACGGGAACATGGCGGCGCTGCTGCAGTGGAGACGCTTTGTTTTCTTTGACAAGGAGTCGGTGAAGGAGACGGGCGATGGCGGCGGCGGCGGCGGCACGGATTTCCGCTTCCCCGGGGACTCCGCCATCAGCGTGTGCGCCAGCGGCCGGGGCAGCCTGGTGCTGGGGGATATCCTGCACATAGGCCCCGAGCCTGGGGCTCGATTTGGGTCAGGGCCCGGGGAAAGGGCAACAGTAAGCAGGGGAGCGGTTCCTGGGCAGCCCGGGGCAGGGGAGCGGCAGTGAGGAGGGAGAGGGAGCGGCCGAGCCCAGAGACAACGTGATAAACACTGACATTGTGGGTTTCGTCCACAGAATATACAGTTACTACACTTTACAGTGTATCCTGTGAAGCGCTTTGAGACATCTCAACCACGTGATAAGGCACTGTGTCAAATGCCAGAATTATTATTTAATCACAAGCGGATTAATGGTTAACTGTTATCGTCCTTTACTGTAGGGTCACTATATTTTGTAAACTAAATCTGGAGACACAGACAGACACAGACAGACAGACACACACACACACAGACAGACACACACACACAGACAGACACACACACACAGACAGACACACACACACAGACACACACACAGACACACACAGACAGACAGACACACACACACAGACAGACACACACACACAGACAGACACACACACACACACACAGACACACACACACACAGACACACACAGACAGACAGACAGACAGACACACAGACAGACACACACACATATATATATATATATAATTGAACTTTTTCCATTTCCAACCAGCCCTTCTCGGCCAAAGCTCTGGAATGTGTTGTTGCTAACCAGCTTTGCTCTCACCTCTCCCTCCTCGAACCCCTCCAGTCTGGTTTCTGCCTTGACTCCCCACAGCAGAGACAGCGCTATCACAAACGATGACCTCTCTCTCTGTGACCAGGGCTCCCTCTGCCTCCTCGTCCTCCTGGACCTCTCCGCCATGTTCGACACAGTCATCCTCCTCCAGCACGTCTCCTCCCTCCTCAGTGGGACCCCACTAGTCTGGTTCGAGTCCTACCTAACAAACTGCCTTCACTTTATCTCTTAAATGGCTGCTCCTCCCGCCCCCCACTCAGTCACCTGTGATGTACCCCAGGGCTCCATCCTTGGCCTCCTCCACTTCCTCATCTATATGCTCCTCTTGGTGATGTCATCCACAGACTTGGGGTAAATACACAAATCTACTTCTCCAGCTGTGACCTCAGGTCCCCTGATGTTCTCTCAGCTCGTCTGGGCAAACATCAGGGCCTGGAGGAGCAAAAACTTTGTTCAACGTAATGTTGACAATAAGCCATATTTATTGGCTCCCGTCAACATCTTCTATCATGCGGCTCTGATCTCCTCAACCTCCCGGGTATATCTCTCAGACTTACCGAACTGGCGTGTAACCGAAGTGTGAGGTACGACCCACAGCTGTCCTTCCCTTTGAGATGCCTCAAAGTGCTTCACAGAATATACAGAGTGAAGTGACTGTATATCTTGTGGGCTTTTAGAATGTTATTGGTCTTGCTCAGTTTGTGGCTGAACTCAAAAGAGGGCAAAATTGGCCCCAGAAACATAACACCTTATCTGGGGACTTTCCCCGGGAATCAGGGACATATCAGGGACACTCTACTTTATTGTTGGCCTACCTCTCAACCCCCATGTGTGAGATAACTTGCAACAGCTTACACTTATACAGCACCTTCAGGTAGCAAAACCTCTCAAAAGCGCTTTGCTTTTCAGGGCAAAACCATAGGCAAGTTTCCTTACTCCACACGCCTGTTTACCTAGGAGTAAGTAGGAACCCGGTTATTATTTGGTCGACAGATCACTTTTCCTGGGGTAATCCCTAAAAAATCAGTCACTTAATCCATGGCTGTTTGTGGGACGCTGCTGTGGGCAACTGGCTGCTGCGTTTTGCCCACAAAATATACAATTCATTTTTCAGTATATTCTGTGAATTGCTTTGAGATGTCTCGAAGACGTGATAAAATGCAAGGATTATTATTTGCGGAGACGGAGTGGGAGCCTGAGCTGGGAGGGAGGGTGTGGCTGAAGGTGCAGTCAGAGACAGGAATTTCAAAACGATTTTAAAGCGAAGAAGGGAGCTGGCGAGGTCTGAAATTTGGGGCTGTGCTGCTCGCTCACTGGCTGCCCAGTGTGTCCTGGTGTTAATGGTACGGAGATCATATATTTAAGTTATATTTAAGCCAGCGCCTTGGGATGTCTTCTCGATATGAAAGACATTGTAGTGCAATTTGTTCTACTGTTTGAGCAGCTGGCATACAGAGGAAGGAAATTGCCTGACTCCTTCAATAACAATAGGCTTTTCGAAATCCCAAATCTTTTTGATGTTAACTTGTTCTCAGTGTTTTCTTTTTGTGAGGAGGTGACCTCCTGAGCACCTTCCTCACCTGTGTCTTCATCCCAAGTGCGTTCCTTAACTCTGTGGCACATATCGAAGGTAATATCTGGTTCCTGACCCGCACTCTGCTGGTCAACTCGTTCCAGGCCTACAAACTGCGGGTGACGCACCTGTATCAGCTCAAACAGCACAGCATCCTGGTGTCAGTGGGCGCAGACGAGCTAGGCATCAACCCGCTGGTGAGTGGGGGTTGTGGGAGAATGTAAAGGTCTTAGCAATGCACGATGATTTAATAAACTGGTCACGTTTCACCCAAACACAAAAGTGACTTGATGGGGGAGACGAACAGCGTCCTCCTAAGTTGTAAATTCTTTGATAACAGATGTGTTTAATTGTTCATGAGAATAAGAGATTGTGGATTCCTGTAGCTCAGTGGTTAGAGCACTTTCCTCGCAAGTTGAATTCCCAGACAGGGCGAAACCTTAGGCAAGTTTCCTTACTCCACACGCCTTTGTTACCAGCAGTAAGTAGGATCCCGGTTGTTAGTCGATTGGTGGGCTGAATTGTAGCTGTATCAAATGCAAGGATTATTATATTAGTGTTATTTTATTATATTATTATAGTATATTATGTTATATTTTTATTATATTATAGAGGCTCTGTTTGTTCCTGCGCAAGCTCCAGAGAAACCTCGGCCGGGTCTCCAGATTCCCTTTCTTCTCTTCCAGGTGAAGGTGTGGAACCTGGACAAACGGGACAGCAGCGGGAATCCACTCTGCACCCGGATATTTTCCGCAATTCCAGGAAACAAACCCACGGAAGTGACATGTTTGACTGTGCACGAAAATCTCAACTACATGGCCATAGGTAAGTGGGAATGGCTGGGGGAAGGGGGCAGGGGAGGGGGGTGGGTGTTCTCTTGAAAGCACTGGGCCCCACAACAACAATACTTACACAGCACCCTTCAGCCAGGATAGCGTCTCCAAGAATAAAACAATTACAGACAGTGTTAACCCCAGACCTTTCTTATTGGTGTGGTCGGGGCTCACTTGGACATGGGTGGTGGTGTGGAGGGGGCTCAGCTGTCCAATCAGAGTGATGCCAATCACAGCTTTTTAAAGTGTTTAGACCAGGAAAGTTTGCCAGATAGCAATATCAATGGCAAGCTATCCGGTTTTAGCTGGTTAGACTCCAGCAGTTACCCCAATGCACACTCTGGTCTTCCCAAAGCCTTGGTTCTTGCCAACCCGCGCCTAATACTTTCTGGGAATTAGGTAAGCAGAATGCGTCCCTCCAAGGAGAGAGAGAGAGTGTGCATTCCTTTCCAATCTAACTACAACTGGGATTTCCATGTGAAGGTGCAATGCATGGAAATTCTCAGCTTGGTTTGGATACTCTTAAGGTTGGTAATGTGAGAGACACTGGCTGGCCAAAAACAAATAGACCAGGAGCAGTTTCTGTTGGTGCTCAGAGCTGATCAGTGGGAGGGTGGGTGGGAGGTGGCTGTGGAGGGGATGATTGACGTGTGGTCTCTCTGGGGGGTAGGCTTCACTGACGGCAGTGTGGTGCTCAAGAAAGGCGATATCACTCGGGACAGACACAGTAAGACGGATGTGCTGCCCGAGGAGACCTACCCCATCACCGGCCTTGGCTTCCAGCAATCCAGCAAACTCACCCATCTCTTCGTGGTGACCACACATAATGTCAAGGTAATTGGGAACAAAATAAGGGACTGAAACCTGCCCCAACACCACCGCCCCCCCCCACCCAGAGTCCCGTAGGGTAGTGGTTAGTGCGCTCGCCTCGCAAGCCAGTGATTCCAGGGTGAAACTTTAGGCAAGTTTCTTTACTCCACACCCTCTGTTTACCTAGCAGTGAGTAGGAACCCGTTGTCAGATTGCTTTCGGGGGTAATGATCCTTCCAAGAAAAAAAATGTGGTCACTCAATCCATGACTGTTTGTGGGGACGCTGCTGTGCGCAATTGGCTGCCACGTTTCGCCCACAAAATATATAGTCAATTCACTTTACAGTATATTCTGTGAAGCGCTTTGAGACGTCTCAACAATATGCTAAAGTGCTATATCAAATGCAAAGATTATTATTACCCTCTATATATCTGTTCTCATCTGTTCTTCCCTGCTCCTTGTGTGACATGTTGCTCTCTTTCTGCCTCTGTGTCAGTCATATAACCTGTCGCAGAAGGATTTCCCAGCCACGGAACTGAACAGCCAGGGTTGCAGCCTGCGCTGCTCAGCCCTGTGCGATCCCTCGCAGGACAACCAATTCATGGTGGCGGGGGACGAGTGCGTGTACCTGTACCAGCCCGAAGAGCGAGGACCCTGCTTCGCTTTCAACGGCCGGAAGCAAGTTGTGCACTGGTATCGTGGCTACCTGGTCATCGTGTCCAAGGAGAAGAAGCCGCCCAAGTACGTGAGGCTTTGTCATCTGGATAAACAGCGAAGGCCTGATGCATGTGGCTGAGAGACTAACAACAACTTGCATTTACACAGCGCTCCTCACGCAGGGTAGTGGTCCCAGAAAGCTTGACAGTGGCGGAGCACATCACCGAGCCGGGGGGAGGGGGAGGTCTCCAGGCACAGCCTGAAGATGGGGAAGGAAGTGGTAAGGTGGAGGGATAGAGGAAGATTACTGGCGATTCACAGAAGGCAATGATTCCTCCTTTATACCCCTGTAGACACCCACTTATAACCGGCAGGGCCAAACATCACGCAAGTTTCCTTACTCTACACACCTCTGATTACCTAGCAGTAAGTAGGAACTCGCTTGTTAGTCAATTGGCGGGGGTAATAATCCCTTCAAAATACATTTTTTTGAATAATAATGTGGTCACTCAATCTACGAATGTTTGTGTTACGCTGCTGTGCACAATTGGCTGCTGCGTTTCACCCACAAAATATACATCACTACACTTTACAGTATATCCTGTGAAGAGCTTTGAGATGTCTCAATGATGTAATAAGGATCTTTACGGAACTAAGAGAGGAAACTGCAGAAACTCTGACACAAATCTTTCAGAAATCACTGAATACTGGAGAGGTGCCAGGGGACTGGAGAAAGGGCAGATTTCTCCTATTCTCCTATTGTTACTCCTATTTTTAAGAAAGTTAACAAAAGTAACCCAGGAAACTACAGACCAGTAAGTTTGACGTCCATTGTGGGTAAAATTAAGGAGATTCTTATTGAGGATAAAATCACAGAGCACCTGGACAGAAATAAAATCATAAATGATAGTTAATATGGGTTCATGAAGGAGAGGTTTTGCCAATCTAATTTATTGGTTTTCTTTGGCAGTGTGACAAGGGAGCTTGATAAGGGTAAGGCTGTGGATGTTGTGTATCTGGATTGCAGTAAGACCTTTGATACAGTTCCTCTTGAGAGGCTGGTACTGAAAATAAAGAAAGCAGGAATCAGTGGAAGTATATTACAATAGATATGTAAACTGGTTGACCGGAAGAACCCAGAGGGTGTTGGTACAGGGAACGTTATCAGACTGGGAAAATGTTACCAGGGGAGTTCCACAAGGGTCTTAGGACCTCTTTTGTTTAATATTTTTATAAATGATCTGGAACTAGGAGTTGCAAGCAGTGGCTAAGTTTGCAGTTAACACCAAGCTAATGAAGGTAGTAGATTGAGAAGCTGAACAAGACAAGTCACAGGAGGATTTGAACATACTTGTGAATTGGGCAGATTGGTGGCAGATGAAATTCAATGTGGAGAAATGTAAAGTGCTTCACATCGGGATAAAAAATCCTGGAAGGGACTATTATTTGAACGAAAGGAAAATAATATGTATGGAAAATGAAAAGGACCTGGGGTTCCTGATTGATAATAAATTGAACTCTCGCATCAATGCCTGGCAGTGAGTAAAGCAAACCAGATGTTGGGATGTATCAAAAGACCAATAGCAAGCCGAACTAGTGGGATAATCCTGCCACTGTATAAATCATTGGTGAGACTGTACTTCGAGACTGTGTACAGTTCTGGTCACCGCAGTACAAAAAGGATATGAGAGAAATCAAGAGGATACAGAGGAAGGAAACCAGAATGATTGAGGGAATGGAAGGACTGGACTATGAGAAGAGACTAAGTAAACTAGGCGTGTTCACACTAGAAACGAGAAGATTGAGAGGTGACATGATTGCTGTCTTTAAGATTCTAAAGGGACAAAACAGTATAGATCATGACAAACTGTTTCAACTTGTCCAGAATATAAAACCAGAGGACACGGGCTGCGATTGAAGGGGGTAAACTCAGAACAAATCTACCAAACACTATGTCAGTGAGCGAATAGTGAACCTGTGGAACAGGCTCCCTAGGGAGATGGTTAAAGCAGGAAATGTTGATTCCTTCAAACACAGATTAGATAGTTTTCTTTTAGGGAATAACATTATGGGATATAGTACATAGGGAGTTTGGGATGTGTGCATGTGTTGGAAAAAAAAACGAGTTTTCAAGTTTCAATCAAGCACAACTACTGTTTGCAACCAGAGTGGTGTTTATTAAACTCCAGGATCCGTCCAAGTTCCCAATGGGCGTGGGCAAGTAGGCACAATCAATCAATTCACTAACAGGACAATACTACCGTGTAATCCCTCCTCGTGGTCGTCTACTTCTGCCTTCTAGCTCTCAGTCTTCCATCCACGATAGTTACTGTCCTGGGCGCCGATCTTGGTCGGGCACAGTGTCTTCAGCTTGTGTCCATCCAGTCATGGTGCGGACATTAGGTCACCTGGCCAAAATCATGCTGGGTTCACGTGAACATTTCATGAGGTGTACGTGCCTCAGACATACAAACACACCGTCATTGAGACAATCCGTTATCTCATGTACGTGCAGGACAGTAGTACACATCTTGTCCTTGAGACACTTACGTGATCTCGTGAGTGTCAGCTCATGAGTTTCAGTCCAGTTGCCACCCCACACACACTTAACTTAAAAGTTAACCCGTTCGCAACATCTATTATGATTCTAACATTATACAAAATGTGTAAATTCTAACAGTCCCCACCTTGATACCGAATTAACATGAGGTATAATAAAACTACGAAAGAAAAAAAAAAATCACACAACCAGGGAGGGAGGGTGGTACTTCCAGGCAACAGGGTGGATGGCAGCAACTTTGCCAGCCTTTCCACCATTCCCTACAGAGGGTACCTCGGAGGAAACCACACTAGACATAACTTTAAGAAAAATAAACTTCACACCCATAACAGCGAACTAAACGCAAAGCAAGATCACAACAATAATAATTAGCCCATGTAACAGTGAACTTCCAATAGAACCAACCAAGCAGTGGTCCATGCCCAAAGAGATGAAGGTGGGGTCTGCTTCAATTTATCCATCTCTTTCCGGATATGATCAGTCAAGCTACTTATATTCTCGGAGTTATCCGGAATATATGTACAACACTCAGACCCAATTATGGCGCATGCACCTCCTTCTTTGGCCAACACGAAATCTAATGCCATGCGATTTTGCAACGGCACCGTCCGAATAGCAACTACTTCAGCGATCAAAAAATCAACAGCTTCTGCTATATCATTTGCCACCTGCTCAAGGATTTTAGCCATACTAATGCTCTCTTGGGAAAGCTTAGAAGTTCCATACATGGGAAAAGCAATAGCAAAGAAACGTTCGGCCTTAGTGATGGATCTTTTGTTAATATGGTGGTCATTTAATAACTTATAGGCGTGTCTTAGACCTGGGACAACATAAGCGAGATAGCATTTCTCTGTCCAATTAAGCGGCAGCAATGGATAGGCCTTGTTTCCGCATACAAAATAAGTGTTATTATACGCAGTAATGTTGGGTCCCAACCTCAGGGGAATCCAAACTTGGCTAAAGGAAGTACCTGTGTTGAGGTTTTTGAAACTGAGGATGGTATATGGCCAATGCCGTGGGTGGGAACACGTATCGTTACCTATCACAAATGTCTGGGCACATTTGCTCTCTCCTACATGAAATCCCCCAGTTATATTGCGGGAGATGCAAATCTCACCTGAAGGGGAGTTGGGAACACTCAATGTCGGGGGTGAGAGGGTAACATCATATGGTGGTTGGTAATACCCACGGTATTCCTTGAAATTATACCCTGCCGATTCCCACCGTCTTCAATCGTCCCCACTAGGAATTGACCAGTTGCATGCAGAGGCGTGGTTAACATTCGTCTGATTTTGGTTGAAATACCAAAATGCAGTTAAGCTCATATTGCCAGGAATGGCCCTTCCATGTTTAACAGATGTTGGCATATTAGCGCACACATAACAACTAGACACCTGGTTATTTTGTGCCTATTTGTAGGCTGTTAATAGGAAAGTATTATGGGGGTTTCCAAGTGGTTATCAAGGGAGTATACATGGGAGTTCTGGATTAGTAGTATTAAAACGCCAAGCACCAGGCCTCCAGTAATTGCATCCAGATCCATATTGATACAGAAGATCCGGTAATCACTTGGTTGGTGCCTGCAAAATACAATGTAGTATATATTCAGTCATCAGTTTATCCTTTTCCCTTCTTTACAGTTTTGAGTTGATTCACATGGTACCATTTAGTCAATTTAGAAGACAAAGGCGTGGCAATTAAATATACTGCCGGGCTTGCCTTTTCCAAAATTTCAAAAGGCCCTTTCCATCGCGGGGCAAAAGGAGATTCCTTTTTCCCATACACGCGGACCATGACTTCATCTCCAATTTTATACTCGATATGGTTAACGGTAGTGTCAAATTGTTGTTTCGCCTTACCAGTGTTTGTAGCCACAAACCTGTTGGTTTCCTGTATGATTTTTAGCATCTTTTTCAGCCATGTCTCCTCCACAGTTCCCTGCAATTTAACATTACCCTCTAATTGTTCGAGGGCTTGTTTAGTCATCACTACTGTACAACCTGGTAGCCTCATTAAACGACCTGTCATCGCTTGATAGGGTGAAATGCCAGTAGTAGCATGTGGGGTGGAGCGAATTGCCATTAGACACAGTGGCAATCCCTTCATCCATTGCGTGGGGTGATCTGCACAAAATTTTGACAACAAAACCTTTAATGTGCGGTTACTTCTTTCTACTACCCCTGAGGATTGAGGATGGTATGACACATGCAATTTGTGATCAATTTCC